AAAGCAGGACGTGCTTAAAGACAGCGCGTACTGATACAAGATATGACCTCACAGCGTGTTGGATCTGACGTGTCCTTCTTTGAATAAGATATACTCTCAAATTTATGGTGGAAAATCACTTCCGACTTTAGTTTCCTTGCCTTTATGAAGCCAGACTCGCGATAAACATGTTTGAACCCCCTCTGAGAGGACTGAAATGGCTTAATCTACATGAATTTTCCCTGTTTTGACATTTGAATTCACCAGGAGTTTATCCTCCTCTATTTGCAACCTCAAAATGTAATCTCATTTCAAGCTTGGGAGGAAATTTCACCTGCTACTTCATGGTAGTGGCTCCTCAGGAAATGCAGTAATTCACTCACAATGGGGGGATCGTTTGGAGTGAAATGAGATTGACCTCAACGGCAGATGCAGGAATTGTTCTCCTTCATTAAAGCAACCTGTGTGCGCTGAATGGGAAGAATTAACAGCAATGTGTAGTCTATTTCGTGCTTGACAAATGGCAGGAAAGCAGATAAAAGCCACTTTCTTGTATTGATTTTCCCCTGTGAACGTCTTTGCCAGTTTTAAGGAAAAGCCGTAGAGGAAGAGCGCTGCGGTCTTCTGAAGAGCGCCTCATGTTTTATACATTCAGTTTACATTAAAGCAACGATGAGATGAAGAGCGTCTCCATAGGGCACGCTGCTGCATGTGTTTTTGGGGAGTCACTGTTGTCTTCTGTCTCTTTTTAGCTTGATTATGCAGTGTGATAATTATTATGTACGTGATGGGGGGTCGGGAAATACTCATGAGGACGTCTTGTTGCGAAACCCTGCAAATAACAAAAAGCATGTGATCGGTGTGTTATCAGAATATTTTTGTTGTATTTGATGTTAGTGAACAAACACAGTGTTCGCTGTTTAAAACATACTGATATCATCCTAGATGACTCAGTCAACACTCTATCTGTTTGCTGCTGGAGGAGTGACAGCTGATAGTGATGGGAGTCTCACCATTTTTGATCATTAGCTGCGTTTACATGGGCACAAATAATCGGAATAAAAATACGTAATGTAAACATGTTGATTGGAAGATTCTGACCCGATTTGGCTCAATCGGAAAGAAATTGTATACCGATCGAGAGGGCTGGTTTATGCCGATTGATATTCTGAAACACGTCCAAATAAACACTTATTCAATCATGACTCTCTAACCTGACTTGGTCTTTACTCTTTATTTAGAGATTTCACTATTAACACTCTGGCATAAAACACAACCGCAGGTGCCATGTCTGCTCCTGCAGTAACATAACTAGGCGTGAATACAGTGTGACAATGTTCCATCTGCGCGCACAGTGCAACCTTTGACTGAACACTAAAACAAGTACGCAAGGGCGCCATCTATTGACAGCATTTAACAGGGGGAAAACTCCTGAATTGGACGGAGTGAGTCACTACCGCATTTGTTGGTTTGTTGACGGCACAGGTGTAAATACAACTCTTCTTCTTGTGTGGTTGTTTTAACAAAATCAGACAACTCTGCGCATGTCCAAATGCTTCTAATCTGAATAAAACTTTGTGCATGTATACGCACGTCATGATTGGATTATTTAATTTTGCACCCATATAAACAGTGGATTCAGATTATCCGATCCCTCAAATTTTTAATCATATCGAGAAATTTTGCCCATGTTAACATGACTACTGTTACACCCTACTTGAAGGCGGCTCTATGGGGCTAACAACTATCCTCACATTTTGACCCATTAAAGTAACAAAACACCTTCAACAGTTTAACAAGAAAGAACACATAACACAAATGAGAGGCAGCAGGGCAGCAGTTCCCCACAAAGTGCCTCTCCCTTTAAACTGTCAGCACCAGGTGAGTCTGATTGTCACTCAGTGATTTCACCTGGGCAGCTAAAGGGGAGACAAAAGGGGGGGAAAAAAACACACACACAAAAATATAGCCACAACAATCATATCATGAAATGATTGTCACTTAAACCAACTGAGAGTAAAAAAGGAAGTCTTGAAACTTTCTGACAAAGTTCATCTGGAGTTCATAAAATCTGATTTTGATGTCACATCTATATATTTATCCAACTAAATCTTGTAAAACACAGGAGGAGGATGTCTTAGTTTTAGGTAGAGATGCACTGGTTGAACATCTGTAGCAGATAAGAGGAGCAGTAACTCCAGGACGTTATGAAACGCTGAAGATTTCAGAAGTTTTACATCTAATAGTTGTCTAGTATTGTTGAATGTATGTACCGGCTCAGTTTGTGTATTTGAACCCGACTTGATGATTTCAAACCAACATTGATTTCACTGTTCAGCAGCGTCCTCTGGGGCTCTTGTGCACGGCCTCTCAAGTTATTAAAAGGAATTTAAAATCAGTATACCGCACTAGAAGCTGCTTTGATGGGGGCTAAAAGTGCCTTATACAGTATGATGATGTATCATACTTTACATGAATCATATCTCTTACAGCCGTTCTTACACAGTATTACATTTGCATAATATGTGGCGCATAGGCTCTTCAGGTCTGCATCAGTGATTATCTGGGCCCGTGCATCTGCAGGAGGGTAAATAGGCCAAACACCATCTGACAGTCTGCCAGCGCCATATTGAGCTCCTGTTATCTCATTTAGAAGTATCCATATGTGCTAATTAGGCCGCCCTGACTTAGGAGAGGACAGGAGATTGCAGAGCGGCAGGGCGCTGAAGTGCGGCTCCCTCACTCTTCGTTGTGGGTGCCCTCCAGTCGACAGCCAAGCTGGAGGTGGGACGGCCAACACAAAACAGTGTGATGTAAGAAGTGCAAAAGCTGGGCACACTCGAAGGCAACACACTCCTACTGCACCTTTCTATATGTATGCACCCAGGCAGTATGACAGCTACAGGCTTTGATGTTCCCTTTGTAGCCCCAAGACTCGGATCTGTTTGAGAGAACCCTGACTGAGAAAACCTGAGATGACAGGTTGGGGTGCTGCTCTGTCTCCTTTTATAGACTTTTTATTCCTCCTGTTGTAAATTATTGGAGTGCTGTTCCTATATTTAGTTTTATAAAGTCCGCTCAGATTATGTCGGTATTTATTTGGCTAAAAGAAGAGATGAAAGTATAAAACAAGATTTCAGCGGCGAGTATGAAAGGGATACTAAAAGGAGGGAAGAAAATGGATAAAAATAAAGAATAAATATATAACGGAAAGCCAGATTGTGTTTGTTTCACAGTGGACTGACTGTTAAATGTTGGTGGATCAACCTCTGCCAATTAAGCAATGGACTGCTGTCAGATTCTGTGCTTAGACCATGGTCATTACATAACATTATTGATCACAAGAAGTGGGCAGTATAGAGATTTGTAGTGTATTTTTTTATGATAGTTATTTGTCATCACCCACCCAAAGGTTTTATTTTTCTGTTTTCTCCACCTTTGGTATTTTGGGTGTGTTGTTGTATTGAATGTTGGCGTGGCGGATTCTCTGTAGTTATTTTTATTTATTTTTTACAATCCATCCGTGATGAATTCAGATATGGTAATAGTAAAAAAGATGAGCTTTTGTAATTTATGAAAATGTCTATTCAGGTGATGAATCAGAACTTCTTCACTTTTGGCTAAAGCTGGGCGATTAACCGAAAATTTACCGATACCGAAATTCACGACAATAACCGACGTCATTTTTGCCCATATCGGTATATTCAGTGTCAAAAAATAAATAAATAAAAGTTGGTTTTGAATGTGTTAAGGTAGGCTATGGTCTCATGTCCCTTTAAGACGCTGTCCTACGTTATCCAGTCCGTAACAAAGAGGGAAAGACAGGTGAGGAGATGGAGGACGGTTCAAAAGTTGTAGCGGCTGAAGTAGATGACGTTAATGTGGGAGGGCGTGAGGAGCTTGTGGAGAAGTTATTGCTTTTATTGTTTTTATTTATTCATTTTTTATTTTCTATGTATTGTAAAGCACTTTGGTTCATCTTTTACATTTACATCAATCGTCCATTTATGGTTATCGAGGTGAACTGCTCAATATATCATGATATTGATTTGAGTCCATATCGCTCAGCCCTACTTTCGGCTTCACTTTCTGGACCCTGAGATGTCACCTGTCTAGAACGGATCCATCATTTCTGCAGTAATTTATTCATTTTCATCCCCGCCTCTGTTCTGTGTTGTTGTGATTGTGCCTACACGTGTGCATCATCCTCCTGTGTGAGTATATATATATATTGTTGTTATTACTATATATGTTTAAGTCATCCGAGCTTTGTTTTATCTACCCTAACAATCTCTCCCAGCAGCAGGAACTGGACTTCTCATCCTCCTGCTGGGATGGATGAATCTCCTTCATCCTCCTCTGCTGTTATTCTCAGTAGCTCTTTTTTTTTTCTTTAAACAGCCCATTGTTTCCAAAGCTCCAGTTATTTTCTTTGAAAACAAATGCCTTGCTGTCTTTGGTTACTGTAGATTATGAGCCACAAAAACAGATCGGCTCTGCTATTTTTGAAAGAGAAAGAGGTCTTGATTGCTCATACTTGCTTTTCCTTTTTATGTGTGAGGTTGTTTTTGTCCTTTTAATCCTGAATTCCTGATTGTGTTGGATTAAAAAAACACAACTTGAAATACGACTCCTTTTGGAGTTTCATCTTGAAGTGGTATTTAAAGACGATTTATGGGATTTGACAAGAAGGAAAGAGCTCACCTTTCTCTACAGCGCTCCTATAATACATGTGCTTGCCTCAGCAGAGTGAAGTTTTTCTCAAGTGCTGCGGTGAAATCACTTGAATTTAGACAATGATAGAGTGGGACTGACAAGAGAAGCAAAGGACAAAGAAGGGAAGGAGGGGGAGGTAGAGGAAAAAAAAAAAAAAAGGACGCACAGATTGGTGAAAAATGTTTCCCTTGTAGAAAGCCAACGGCTCTGTCTCCTTGACTCAGAGTGCTGTCTACTCCCTCATCTGTGTATGTTACAAACCCCACCTCCCCCAGTACTTCTCTCCTCCCCTCCCCTCCCCTCCTGTCTCAGTCTCCGGCCAAGGAATCCCAGGCAGCGTTTAATTGCAGAGTGCAAAGGCTTTAGTTGGGCTAATGAGCTCAGCACCGGAGCTGGGACTCCTCCGCGCACCCTCGGACAGACAGAAAAACCATATGGAGTCCTTCAGCGGAGGAACCTCACCAGACGGCTGGATTTTAGGTGGAGAAGGAGGGAGAAGGAATTCTTGAATTCAGGTATAGGTGACTATGTTTGCGAGAATTTACCAGAGGCAGGAGACGGAGTAAGAGGTGGAGTAAGAGAGGAGAGCGAGAGAGGAGGGGAGGAAACGGGAAACACACAGCCAGAGAGAGAGAGAGAGAGAGAGAGAGAGAGAGAGAGACTGTAAGCCTGCAGCAGCAAATGAGACAGAACAACGAGGCGGGAGAGGTAGAAAGAGAGACAGAGAGAGAGAGAGAGAGAGAGAGAGGGAGGGAGGTGGAGAGGGGCCCCGTGTAGGAGAGAGGGCTAGAGGGTGAGGAAGAAGAAGAAGGAGTAGAGAAAAAGTTAGAAGAAGTAAGAGTACAAGAGGGTCCAGAGAAGGGAAAGTACGAGCAGCCGAGATTAACAACTACAGGAGAGCAGAAGAAGGGAAACAACAGACAGGAAGGAAGGGGAGGGAGGCAGAGAAAAGTCTTGGGCAGCGAAGAGGGGGAAAAAAAAGAGCTGAAGAAAAAGTTTTTTTGTGGGAAGACGCAGATGAGGAAAACAGAGGGAGTGAATGACTGGGCTGGAGAGAGCAGGGACGGGAGGAAACCAGTTCTTTTCTGAGGCGTTTTCAACACAAGCCTGCGGACCTCTTTGGACATGTACACAGAAACAACGGGACACCATCGATTCCTCCAGCATGTCCACACCTCCAACCCTTGCTCCTGCCAGCACTGCGTCCACTATGAGAAGCCGTACAACCACCACCCTGGACTTGGATACCCACCAGGAATACCCAGACAGACGGACCACCCATCTCTGGACTGCAGGAGAGACATCCAGGCTCCTCGGGTTAAAGACGTAGGAGGGAGAGCTTTCCTGGTGGACGGGTTTGAGAAAAGCGGTCATCGCAGCCCACAGAGGAGGCCTGTGTTTGTAGGGCCGAGCCCTCACAGCCACTCAGGAGAGGACTTGAGCCAAGTTCGCCCCTGGGACCTGAACCCTGCCCAGTGGAGCTACCCGCCGCCAGATCCCGGGGTGAGACACTACTCATCTGTGAGGGAACAGTGTGGCTGTGTGGTGCGCCATGACACTCGGACACACCCCTTCAACAGCGGGATACCACATCCTCTCCCTCATCTTCAGGTCAAAGGTCAAGGGTACAGGCACAGGAGGACTATCCGGTATGTCTCAGTGGATGAGGAGCAGGAAGCGTGTGGATGCACCTCTGAGAACTATCATTTGGAGCCGCACAATTACACTGTGGGTTGCTCCAGCATGCCAAATGGCCACTGTGGGCCAAGGTCTGTGTTCTTTGAGGGAGGGGAGGAAAGAGATAGCCATCAGGACCGGGGACGAGTGAAGGGAGGATCAGAGGAGGGCTGTAATGGATGTCAAGGCTCCCACAAAGGGTTCTTCCCAACCGAGGTCCCGCAGAAACAGCTGAAGCCGAGCAGACAGAAGGGGCCCTGCTTCCCTCCCTCGGGGATCACGAGCCAAGAGCCCTCGAAGTCCCCAATCAACGAGGAGCACCAGCAGCAGCGGCACGGTTCGGAGGTGGTGAAGCAGAAGAGGAAGCAGGATTTGGTGAGAGAACAGATCAGACAAGTGGTGACGGATCTGGAGGATGTGTTGGGAGGGCTGAAGCAAGTTCACGTGGAGATGAAAGAGGTAGGAGGGTCTGCGATACCAAAGATGTTTGTCCTCTCTGTTTACACCAGGTGTCTGAACATGAAGGTGCAGGTCAGGAGCAGGTGTCTCTGCCTCTGCCTGTGACATTTACAACAATTAACTCGAAGCTCCAAAACAAACAAACAAACAGAGCAGATCATTCGCTCCTGTATCTTTGCGACATGATCACAGCAGCAGCGGATCAGTGTGTGTGTGTGTGTGTGTGAATGCTGACGGTATTGTTTGTGACTCACTCATCATCTTTCGACTGAAGCAGTGATCGAGAGCGAGTTTGCTCTGACCTTTTGCAGAACGGTGGTGAAAATTGGCAGCGTTCCGGTCAGCACATTAAAAAGCCCGGCCTGAGACGGTTTCTGAATTATGCCTGGCTCTTACAGTATCCATTTTGCATGCAGCTGTAATATAGCAACCGATTCATAGCTGAACGTGTCTATGCAAAAGCTGATGTCGAAGTAAAGCTTAATTTATGTCAACTTGGAAACACAAGGAAATCCTGATAAACCGGCTTTGATTTTAGTGATTGACAGACTTTTGGGTGAGTGCCTCTGTTTAGCTCACTTCAGAGAGAACCTGCTGCAACACTCAGACCCTTTACTGAAGTAGATATACATATGCCACAAAGTCCAAATACATCATAACAGGTAGAGTACATGCATTTAAATCCAAAAGATATGCAGGTGAAGTCGACTTAATCAAATTTAATGATATTTCTAATACTATTCTCACGTCATGCCTGCTATATGTTGTGTCTAAGCTGTAGTGTAGTCACCTGCCACTAGCTGTAGCTCCTGATAATGGCCACTGACAAAACGCCGTAATGCTCAACTCCTCAGATGAAAACAAGCAGAGGTGACAGTGCAGCAAAGTTTGGGAGAATTTTGATCAAGACAATGAAGATGAAGTTGTGTGTGGGCTGTTCCTGGTAGACCAGAACAATGTGTACCAACACAGACTTAAGGAAGTCAACCTGCAAGGAGGACCAGAGGCTGATGGTGTTAGTTTGTTAATGGTAGCAACTCTTGGAAAACCGATGTGCCTGTAAGTGATTTTGTGTTTAGAGGTGGCAGATCATTTGTGTTTACTTTTCACTGTTTCGGGAGATTTCTTACCTGGAGACTCATCGGTAAGTCATGATTAAAATTTAAGTTTGAGTGACTTGGAAATAATTCACTTCAAAACATACCTAGTAAATTAAGAAAAGTATAAAAACATTCATTAAAATGTGAGAAAGTAATTAATGACTTTGCAAGATGTCACACCAAGCACGAGTAAAATCATCTACTCGCTTAATTCGCGCGAATCTGGACGCGTTAATGAGAAGTATTTACTCACTTCCTTTCCACGTCAACTGTAATTTTAACGGTAATCCCTGCCTATTCAACAGGCGGGATTGAGTGATAGACAAAGATTTTTTACAGTTTACCAGTTAATCCGACCTCCTCACTCACTCACTCACCTCCAGTCGAGCTCCTTTTTACTCTGGTTTCGGTAATTGAAAGAAAAGATATCGTATAGTTCGGGGCACGATCAGTTTGTCCTCCAGTTTAGATACCAGTGAACAACCATCTGTTTTCATATGACACTCAGCAACCTTCGTGCTGATTGGTTATCGCAATGTGAATATCGGCTCAAGTTGAGACATTTTCAGCTCCTGCCAAATTCGCATCATTCGTGACGCCAGAGTGGTAGGAGCGTCTTATCGCGTCTTTGCATCGACATATAATTCATTCGCGCGAATGAATTCACTCGCGCTTAGTGTGTGGAGACAGTAAGATAGTCTAACTTGTAGTTGTCAGCGTAAAGGTCACAAGATAAGTCAGAGGTCGTGAGAGACTCAAATGGAAAGAAAGGAAAGAAATCAACATACAGCTGCACAAGTTTTGAATAGTTTGTTTTTTTATATTCTCTTTTTTTTGCCCTCAGACATAAACCAGAGAAGGTTTAGGAGGTTAAGGTTAGGTTTAGGTTTAGGGTTAGGGTTAGGCTGAACTCACTGGTTCAAATTTAAGTAATGCGTAATCCTTCATGAGATATTCAAATGTGTTTCTACCAAAGATCACAGAGTTAAGAGTAAATTTAAGGTGTGATATGTCCTTTTTAAGCTGTAGTGGAGTTATCAGGGTGAAAACAACATATTTGGGTCATTTCTTCGCGGTTTGGACAGGTATTGATTCTCTTTATTATTATTCAGGTGGTCGAGCAGATTGATCGTCTCACAGCCAGTATCGACCTCAACGAGGAGCCGCCCTTCATCACTCAGGGGTCGTCTGCTAACTCTCATGGCTCAGTTCATCCAGGTGACCTCAAGGTGGCCCTGATGCCTAATCACAAACCTCCTCCTGTCCAAACGCCGCACCATGTCGACGAAGACCGCATCATTTTAAGAACTAACTCCCCCTCCCCTGTTCACATGGCGTCTGTCGTCAAAACCAGCTGCTTCACCCCGCCCAGCCAAACTAAAGACATCGGCCACAAGGTGCCGGGTGCGAACGGCCACCTGCCTCACCTGTACCCTCCCAGAGACTCGAACCACATCGGGCAAACTCATCCTGACCCCCACCCGCACAGCTTGGACCCTAAAGTCATCATCAGCAACAGCACCTCCAATTCACGAACTCAGAAGCCTCCTCTGTACCCTCAGAACGGGCGATGTGGCAAAGGCCCGTACCCGCCTCCCAAACCTGTGAAGACCTCTTCCTACCCGGGGGGGAGGGGCCGCCAGAGTGCCAGCATTGTGTGACGGAGGGAGGGGTGGTCTGCCCGGTGCCATGGGGGCCTGAAACATGAGACCCTTCTGCAGAGAGTGGAGGTCAGAGTGGGACCAGGCAGGGGAACAACTCATGGTAAGTACAGATACAGGAGGGCTTTCATTTTCCCCCCTCTCTCTCTTTTCTTACAGTGTTGATGTTTCCGTCAGCGCTCATGACGTGCGCTCTGTTTACTGGCAGGGAAGTTCTCAAAGTCAGTAAATGAATTGCAGCGTTCCTCCCCGTGACAAAAACAAAAAAGGGTTCATGTGTGCGTTTGATGTATGTGTGTCTGTCTGTGTGGGCGGAGGGGGCGTAATGTGTCTGCTTTTGTTGATGTCACATGATTTCCCAGCCTTCTCCACGCTGTAAAACGTGTCCGTCTTGGCAAGTGAAATGAAAAACGGAGTGTTTGTTCATGTCAGTGGAGTGACTGGTTAAAGTGTTCATAAGTGACTTTTAACTTTGCTAAACACGGTTAGCCTTTGGTTAACACATATTTTATCTTTAAAGAAGTTGAGTTGAAGTTAAAAAGCCTGAAAACTTTGGATCCTTAGAGACTTAAATTGCTTGAATCCAATGTGAAACAGGAGGATAAATTAGGTTGACCATACGTCCTCTTTTACCCGGACATGTCCTCTTTTTTGGGGGCTGTCCGGGCTTGTCCAGGAAAGTTTATAAAATCCTTCAAATGTATGGAGGTTTCGAGTTTGTGTCAACTGGACTTACTGAGTTAGAAGCACATAAAAGACACTCGATCCGACCCGAAAAACTCTCAAAATTAACTTTGTGCGACTCTGTGATTCTGCCTCTGTGTAGTTGTGTCATTCAGATTATGGTCACCCTAGAATAAATGAGCTTTTGGAGTAGATTTGCGTGATTCTTGACCCCGATGAACATGATTTTCTATTATTGAACTACTATAGTCTTTTTTTTCTCGCTTGGATGGCAGACAGGAGGGTAAAAGCTCCAGACAGACTCTTTTTACAGTGTAACTTAGTCACCACTTCGAGGGAACTGAGACTTGGCAGGAACCCAAAGGGTTTTTGGCGAAGGACGACCCCACAGCGGCTTAGGAGCAATCATGTGACACAAAAGAGGAGTCATTATATTTACAGGATGATCATAGCTCTGACTCAGAATTGGCATAACTTACAGCCAAAGGGGGGCTGATGAGGAGGACCTAAACCTTTCTTCTTGTGCCACAGTCAGATGTATCATTACTCACTGACTGGGAATTAGAAGCAGACTTAATAACAAGATGACATCTGTGAAAAAAACAGTCCTGGAAAATTGAGCAGCAGATACATACAGTCGAGACGAGCATTCTTCCACAGAAAAACTCCACTTTTACAGATGCCAGAGAGACAGACCTGCATGTTTCTGCACTTCCCTCTTGTGCAGAATATGCGTTACTGCAATCTATTTTTCTAGGCTTTTCTGTGTTGGGCAAGCACAATCTGGTTTTAATCATAAAACCCCCTGGCCACGTGCCAGAACAGAGTGAGGCAAACTCTTGGTATATTTGTGACGTCCATATAAACATCAGCGCCGCTGCACACTCTACATTCTGCTGCAGGGAGAGACGCACGGCTCAGGCTGCAGCTTCAGGTTGAGGCTGGCAGCCAAAGGAGAAAAAAAATGCATATGGCAGAGCTTTAACTTCTCTCTCTCTCTCTAATGAAATCACAGTTTAATTAGCTGTAAGTGTAGCGTGGCTTTTCTGTTTAACACAATACTTTCTTTTCACTTTCTAAGCCCTTCAAAGACACACTGCTGTTGATAGTTTGGAGTCTTGAATCATTTGAATTAGTCATCCAGAGAGGGTTCAGTGTTAAAAAAGCTAGCACAACAGATTATGTGCTGAGCAGCTCATTCACACATTAACACTATCACAAACACACACACACACGCAGCTTTTGAGAGACAGGAAATGTGGGGAGAGAGAAGGAGGGATGACTTGCAACAACTAAATTAGGAGCTGAACCTGCAACCAGCATGACAAGGACTCTCTCCTGTGAATGAAGGGGCGCCTGCTTTGAGATGAACTAGCACCCCGCAATATTGTTCACGTTTTCGTACACGGTTCCTGGTTGATATGAGGGATGTAGTTCAACACAAACCACATGAGTCAGGGATCTAGACAAAATAACAAAAACTCACACAGGGAAAACAACATGAATCGAAAACGGATAAAACAAAAACATTTAACAAGAGCAAAAACAGCACTTTATGATTTTCACTCTCTGTAAGTTTGATTTCAATCATCTGTGTATGAGGTAGAGTTGGGAATCACTAGTGGCCCCACGATACGATAATATCACGATGTTTGGGCCACGATCCGATATCACGATTTTAAACATTTTGAGATACAGTGAGTATTGCGATACCATTTATTGCGATTTGTTTTTTTCAACTGCTTGGCTGATTAAGCATTTGTCTTTTCCTTATTTTTGTCTTATTGATGCAGTATGGTGTACCATACTATAATTTGTGCTGTTTGGAATTTCACAATATCTGTAAGTTTAAAAAACTTTGACTGCAAGAAGAGTGAGTGAGTGTGATCCAGATAACTGACATTATGAATGATCCGTATTACCCTTTTTTAAAGAATAATCAGTGAATTTTTCCATTATTATAGACTTGAGTTCATATAAGCAATTACTTTAAAATACCAATACTTGGTGGATGAGACGATATATTACCAGACAAAATATCGCGATGCTCTGCTGTATCGATTTTTTCTCCCACCCCTAGTAAGAAGGTGGGCTGAATATCTACTGATGCCTTATTCCCTTTTTTAAACTTTAATTTTAATCCTGAAACAGACCTTTAAGCCCCTGGGAGCAGTTTTCACCTGATGGGGAAAAACATTGAAATAAATACTGATGCCTTTATATGACCTACAGCAGTAAATAACACCGTCTGTGCAAAGATTTAATGTGTTTTATCATCATTGGTAATGCCTGACATCACCGCTGGCTGTTAGGCATCAGATAAGGGGATTAACTGCGAGATGGAATAGCCGGCTTTGTTTATTTTTCATTATAAAGATTCAGAGTAAAAGACACTAGAGCACATTTATGGGACAAAATCTGCAAAAAGACAAAGATTACCACATAGTCTATAAGACACACCAAAATTACCCCTATAGGATCTTTGAGTTAATGTCATGTTTTAAATACACACAGAGAAACATGTTTGAATCTATAGACTTGGTAAGTATACTTTATATTACTGCAGACTTGGATATGTTATAAGAACTGAGGCTGGACAGATCATGCAGTCTGACAGTGTTCATGCCTCATGTCTCCCAAAGCCAAAAAAGCTGTTTTGATTTGTCTTTGAGGAAGATGAAAATGTAAAAATATCTGCATCACATGGTCTGACATCTACCCCCCATCAGAGGTTTAAAGAATTAGAAATAGCTTTAATGAAAAGTGGTCAGGTTTGCTTTTCATTCAGTCTCATATAGTATTTATTTCAGCTTGTTTCACAAGAAGCTAGAAACTCCTCACAGGAGCTTTAAGTTTTAATGTGTCTCTATCAGAATGAATGAGTGCTACAGCATCAGTGTCTGTGCTTAAATGAATGTAGATTTATTTACTCAAGTTAACAACAAGAAAGAAAAGCAGGGTTAAGAGGGGTTACTGTGCAGTAAGAGTATCTTTTGTTATAACTCTTAATAAAATTCAGCTATTTCATGAGTTCTTCTCTTAGCTTGCTCACTCATCTAGGATACTAGTGAAATGTGTTTTAAGCACAGTGTTCGGGGTGTCAGGGTCTGGAGTTAAACAAAAAAGAAAGGGCCCAAATGCAGAACAAAAATGATTTACTCAAAACGAACTAAATAAAAAGCAACAAAAACTCACTTCAAATGGGACTCACTGGGAAGACACAGGCATACGCACACAGACAAACATACAACTCAATGAACCAACAAAGAAACAGTGGAAGACGAGGACTATATAAACACACGCAGGGAAACGAGCAACGAGAGGCAGGTGAGGCACTGAGACACAGGTGAAGACAATTACAGAGGAGGGAAAACTGAGGAAGTAAAAGAAGGGAATAAACTCCTACAAAATAAAACAGGAAACACTGAAAACTGATAGTAAGAATAAAACACTGAAAACATGAGGGAAACAGGGTCAGACACAAACTGAAAACTCACAAGACTGGACTGCAGGGGACGGTTCCTCTCTCTTCGCTGCAGGACAGAAAGATTAAGAAGATCTTTTGTACCCACAGCCGTCAGACTTTACAACTCTTTTAGAAATATTAGATTAGTTTTGAGACATGACAAATGAGACGACAGACAATTGAATTTCCCTTTAGGGATCATTAAATTTATTCTTATTCTTCTGAGATATTTTATGCCATCCAGACCCAGAAAGCTTAAAAAAGGTAGATAGTTGAGATTCAGATTTCTTAAATGTTTTAATTTTCAGGTATTTAAAGTTTTTACTCCGAAAGTTTTCTATTTATTTGGACATTGTTTACCACGTTTTTACACCTGTTTGTTCTTATAACTCGTGTTTTTGTTCATCTCTGTTAGACTGAACAGTAGGTGCAGTCAGCTCGTGTTTAATTAGAAGTAGATTCACTTCTAAAGATGCAGACTAGCGGGAATGTTCTTCCTTTCAAGGTCTAATGCTAATGTTGACGTTAACAGAACGAAAGCTTTGTGAACAAAAACAGTACGGCATACCGGCAGGTTTAATGGCAAAACTTTGAAAGAAACTCCCCTATGTCACTTCTCAACAAGCCATGAATCATAGCCCACAAGGACACACAGAAGTGCCGCTCACAGTGATTAAATCCTCGTTTCTATGGTTTCATCAATATGTAACGTTGCGAGGAGAGAAGTCTTGTGAAGAGGCATGGTTTGTTCGTACAGTACAGTAATAATTTTACAGCAGCACTGGGTCAAGTCTTTCGAGATCCTGAGACCAGAATTCAAATAGTTTCCCCTTTTTTTTGTTTCAGGAGGAGCTGATGCCACTGAGACAAGCTGTCAGCCGGTGGAAACGGAGCACGGCCTGAAGGTGGGGGTATTTCCAAAGGGAAAACTCCCCCCCAAGAGTCCGACGCTGTATGTCACACACGCACAGAAGCATGGAGGAGTGGAAGACGAATCCTCTCTGGAGCATTTCTGCTTCTCTTGCTGTTTCTGGTGATGTAGTGTGAAGTAATGAGACGGATAAAATGTGAACTGCTACTCAACAACCACCAGTGGATACAACAAAGGTATCATCTCATGACTGTGTTAACTTATTCATACTATTTTTATTACAAAGAAATCTATTTTCAGGCAGCTTAAACCAGTTTGGATACTACCTAATGGGATGTGTGAGATGATTTATGATTTATACCATCTGCATTATTGTAAAGATATTTTACAAATAAAGAGTTTAGACTGTTTTCCTCATGTTTTTACTACATGTAAGAAAAGTTATCAGCACAGACGAGAAAAGTTGGACCAAGAGAAGCAAAATTTATTTGCATTAGATATTTTTCCAGCACTTTTCTCTTACAAATAAATCTGACGTCTCAATAATGTGACCCTAGAGATGTGGAACTGGCCGCAGAAGATCCCACATACGAATACAAAAGAGCACGATTACATGACTGCAGACTCTTGGAAATGATTTATACTTTCACTTAGCCTGTAAGATGTTTCCCAAGTGGTTGTGGAAGTGGTAGAAACACTTATCGGGCTGATCTGGGGATGACAGCGTGTGATCTCTCATGGCCTTATTCTGTCAGGGCGCTCGCTGTTTTGTCCCGGGCCGGTCGGGGCCAACGTCAGCGTCTCTGTTTGTTTAAATCTTGTCTGAGACTTTCCCCACTGCGCTCTCACAACCTCCTGCTGCTGCTATCAGAGCACAACGCTTCCGCTCCGACAGCTATTATAATTCATCCGCCTCACAACACATCCCTCTCTCTTTCTCTTTCTCTCTCTCTCGCTGCGTCCCAGTGTCTGTTTGTATCCCTGATGGAGAGCTGCAGTGACAGATGGGAGATGACACATACAAGCCGTTAACCGTCCCATCGACTCTGTCACTCACTCTATGTGTCTGCAGCAGTTAAAGGTAATGGTGCCTCTCTAAGCATGCTGCTGCTGTATCAGGTTTGAAAAAGGCTGAGGCTGCAACCAACAGTCATCTAAATTATTAAGCGGAGTGTCTGCGTTGTCTAATTTGATAGGTGTAAGTGAAACAATTTAGATAACTTTTTTAGAGTTCGACAAGAGCTGAATTCACCGTATTTAGAACTGAAATCAGAGCAGGAAGGCTCAAATACCGAGTCGGCACCAGAATTAATTGTTCTGTTTTTATTATTAAAGGGCCAGAATGCTAACGTTGAGTCTATGCTGTTGCGCAGCCACCTGGGAAATGGCTACTGCCATAACGCTCCAATGCTGTACTCACAGACTGTATATAGAATGGACGCTGTCTGCCTCCTCGCTGGGTGAAGCCAATCCGAGAACAGCACCCTCTGGTGACGGGCTGCAGTATAGGTCATAAATCCCGCCTCCTCCAGCAATCCCTATGGAGCTGTGGACAAATTTTAGAAATTTATTACAAAGAATATAAATTTTTCTCCCCCCTGGTTGTGATGTTGACATGTAGTTACTGTAACCAGAATGGCTACGAAAGGCTGTATCTGCCGATCGTAGCTGATCGTAACCATTCGAGTTAATGTGACAATTTCCACCGGCTTATTTCCGTTCTGCAGCTGATTGCAAGAGTTCTATTTTCCGTGTTTCAGGCGGATCGCATTTCACACCATGCAAACGGGCGAAGACGAACAAGTAAAAGGTTTATGGACAGCATTTCATCCCGATGACACCAAAGTTGAGGAGATGCTGATTTTATAAGTCTAGAAGTAGATTTAAGGTTAACTTTTTATCACGCGATTGCATGTGAATCCACGGGTTCTTGTGAGTTCTCGCGATCCCTGCTGTCCATAATCCTCCACGAAATTCACCTCACAAATGGATTGGGTAGGAATTGACGTACGGCTGCCATTCTGGATTGGAGCCGTGCCGGGAGCAGAGGGAATTCCGGGTAAGACTGGTTTGTGCTCAAGTCCTATTTTTCTAAACAGCTCCCTTTTTAAAAGTTATTCGGGGGTTCATGTTTTCTATGATTGACACTTGATACAGCTTATGGATATACGAAGATTGCGTAGCTCACCCGGGGCATACGCTGTTTGAGCCGATGAGCACAATGTTGGTTTCAGGAAATAAAGAAAAATCGCAGAAATACCAAGAGCTTTTCGGCATCAAATCCGTATACTGGCAGAAGGTGGAACCAAGTTGTCCATCGTATATACAGTCTATGGCTCTACAAACCTGATGCAAGCAAGCACAGATGACAGGTGGCGTGAAGAGAGCTGTGTCAAACAGTCAAACAACCACTTAACCAGAGCGATCCATATCTGACACAGGCGTGTAGATGCTAACACACATGGAGGGTTGAAGGCTGGTGGTGCTAGCTCTGCAAACTTTGATAAACTGCTGTGGCGTCATTCACCTGCAGACCCTGTGATCCTGTGTTTAGACGTGAAATAAAGTGTGCTCAATAACGACGGCTTTCAGAGTCTTTTCTTACCTGGTGACTAGTTGTTCAGCTAATGTTAGCATGAGTGACACATACTGCACAAACAGCTACACTTTTAATAGTAACTTAGCCTTATTTTGTGTAGTTTGATCAATCACGCTAGAAGTATTGTGCAAGATCTATCATGTTTTTGCGTGAAAACTATCATGTAGACTGTTGTTATTGTCTTGTGTAATGCTAACAGTTCTGTTTTGAACTCATAACCGGAGCACAGTCAGCTCAGGTGTGATGCCATGTGGATTTTCATTCAGCAAATTGACCGAAACAGCTCAAGCTTCACTTCAATGATAACTTTCACAGTTTGATTCCTCACCCTAAGACGAAATATAATCATCTTTATTCAGGAGTAAAATTATTTTTTAGACTCAAATATACCAAAGTTACTTAGTTTAAAATGTTTTTGCTCAAACTAGACACACACACACACACACACACATTTAAGAAACTGGGACTAGAGAGTTTGTTATTCGAATTGAGTAAGCGAATTGATGTTTCTCAGGACGTGTCTAATGACTTTAGAGAGCTGCTTTATATTCTGTGTTTTCTTGCAGGAGCAAAGACTTATAATCTTTTATAGCTTAGTCATGAACTGTGTCAGAGTGTTTTCAACATTCCAGTAAAAACATCGCTCTGCTTGCTATTCATAGAAGACGTCTGTTTTGGCAGCGAGATAAAAGTATTATTCTGATGACCTTTCTTTCAACTGTCTCCCTTTGACTGAAATCTTACTTTTAAAACAAACACCTAATGATAAGACTCGTTCAGACTGCCGCATGAATACTAAGCTGAAGTCACTAAACAATCATCGATCCTCACAGCGACCACTTAAAGGTCCGCAGGCTTGGATCTTAGATGATGTCTGCAGCGCTAAAAGCCCCCAGTGGACTTAGAGAAAGGCCATGTCTTGGCCTTCGGTCCGTGTCTGAGCCTTTCTGCAAACCCCGTCTATGAATCTCATCAGACAGATGGCACACCAGCTGAGCTGTTGGCCGTGCTGCTTTTGTAAATACTGGAGTGGCTTGGGAATGTCAGACAGAAATTCAAACCAAGACCAACACCGACCCTTAGTGCAGAAACCTCACTTTTACCACATCCGCCCCAAAATAATACATGAGGAGGATGCTGCTAATACCGCAAGTGTCTGAAGCCAGTCCAGAGGAGTTTTGTTTCCTGGTCTGTTTGGACTCTGGATGGATCCTGAACTCTGTCTGGGAACTAACAGCTTCAAACAGCCGTCTAAAACACAGAGCCAGGGAGGGAGATACTGTGGTTGGCCCGAAGATCAATTCCTGTTTACAACCTGAGAACGGTATTTACATATTTTGGGAAATAAATGAGTTTGAGGTTGAAAGACGACTGGAGTTGTTCCAGTAAATTAGCTCAGCCACCGGCTGCTGAACAGGCTGAGACGAGTGTAAATTAATCCTTCGGGCAACTGTGCCAGAATACCAAAGTGCTTCTACAGGTGAACATGGTGTTGGAAAAAACAAGCGCAGATTTTCAGTTTTTCATAATGTCTTTTTTTTTTTTTTTTACAGAAATGGACTCGTGCTTCTATGTTATATGTGTCTGGATTTGTTTTGGGGCTGGTGGTCCTATTTCCTACACAGATCAGTGCATTTTGGCGATTTCAGTGTTCAATGACCTGAGCACAATAACATCGTCTGCTTTGGCTGTTTTGTTGTTGTTGTACTCTTAGTATTCTCAGATGAAAAAAGAAAACGTCACTTTTGGACCATTGCTGCACTCGTCTGTGTCCTTCCTCCCTCACTGACCAATCATAATCAAGAAGGAGAGACTTCTGGGATAAACTGTGTTGACAACAATGGTGAAGGAGACAGAAAACAGACTTGTTTGATCATGAACTCTGTTTTCCCAGAGCTGCTGCTAATGCCAAGTCATGATTCTTGCCCATTGTTTTAAAGCTGCTGTGAGGAACTTTCTGTTTGTGTCAATAATAGCTCCCCCCTGTGGACAAAAATGGTACCTGTCTTCTCTTGTCCTGTACATGTGAAATTAGTCTTTTCAGACAATAACTCATCTTGTTGTCTTTTAACAATGAACTTTAATTTCTCTGTAAGTAAAACAAGCTCTGTTTTTCAGTCTGCTGTCAATCATCTGGTCCGACACCTACCCTCTCACGATATTTTCTTTTACATTAAAATGACAACATAGAAATGATCAGACTTGTTGCTGATGGTCTCATTTCATTATGATGGTCATAAGTATCGGTCCCGGTCTGTTTTTTAACCAGGTAAAAACTCCTCACTGTGCCTTTAAGTTTTCTTTGTAAAATGCTGTTAAATAAAAGTGAATGTGAAGCATACAGAGCAGTTTAAAGCAGACTTTACAGTCATTATACAAGGTAGAAAAAGTACCAGTGAGAAGCTCTAGGTGCAACAAAAAAGCTGTCAGTGTACACAGGCCCTAAAGCTCCTGTGAAGAACTTTCACTTTGTTGCTTTGGCGCCCCCCTGTGGACCAACATATGTACATGTTTTGAGACAGAAATGAAACCCAAATTATCACTCGTCTTAAATGTTCAAAATGTAATAAAAATGGTGGTTTGCATTCGATTACTTCTCTTTCAGCCATCCAAAATATGAAAATCTTAAATCTAAGTGCTTGTTTGTGTTGCTTATGTAAAGGCATCAGGACAAACTTCAGTCTGTTTCACAAGCAGTGAAAAAACCCTTACTGGAGCTTTAATGTAGTCTTAGCAGGTTTGAACAAAGAAAAAAGGACCCAAATGCAGAACAAAAAAAGGATTTAAAAGGCACTGGGCGGGAAAAAACACAAGGTAACACTGGCATACACACACCTTGACAAACACAAAGTTAACAAAGAAAGTGACAGGGTAAGACAAGGACTATATATACACACAGAGAAACGAGCAACGAGAGGCAGGTGAGACACTGAGACACAGGTGCAGACAATTACAGAGGAGGGAAAACTAGGGAAGTAAAGCAAGACAAGAAACACAGGAAATAAACTACTACAAAATAAAACAGGAAACACTGAAACCTGATTTAAAGAATAAAACACTGAAAACATGAGGGAAACAGGGTAAGACACGAACTGAAAACTCACAAGACAAGACTAAAGGGGAACAGGAAATACACTCAAATAAACAACACGAGGAGAAAACTAAATTAACAAAACATATCATGACCCTTTGTTCAGTTTAAACCTAGCTTTATGCATATTTACTTTAAGTTGTTTACAGTTGAGGTGTTACAGGGTTTTCGCATTTAAATGCTCGGTAAGGAACTTTTGTTTGTGTTGATTTCTTTATCATTTTCTTGAAGTAATAATCATGATATTAATCGTTTTGCACTGCAGACACTGTAGTTCTTCTGCCTTAGCGTCTCGGTCTGATTGCATTTCCATGAAGAAATGATCTTAAACGTTCTTCCTTGAGCTGCGACACCCCACTGTAGTCCGTAATGGACTGGCCCGAGGTCTCGCTACAAACAAAGTAGGTGAGTTGTGTTTAGTCTCTTTGCTGGAGAAATTAGGCAAAGCTAAAAAGAAGTTTGATGGCTAGTGCTGTGGCTAGGATCCTATATGTACTGTTGATGAAGTTAGGTGCTGTTCTGAGCATTATTTGTTACTATAGAGTGGTGTTTTGGTTGAGGTTTTTTTATGGCTCCATAGACCGCTGTGAATTGCTATTGTGTGGTTGTTACTAAAGTTGGCATTACTAAAGAAGCAAGCGGTCGGCAACATTCATCTCTCAAGGGAATGTCTAACTCGGTGTCACGGTGTGTTTGACCCTAAATTAATTTTACGCCCGAATATCCCTTTAATCTCTTTACTGATTTTATCTCTTACACACATATATAAATGTTTCCCACCAAACTCCATCCTGCTTTCTGTTAACAGTCAACTGCATCACTCGTCAGGAATATTTGCTGTGGAAAATGTTAGAAAAAGGCTGATGTCGCTGTGTGAGGGTTATGACTTTATAAAGAGGAATGATTATTAAATTCAGTCTGTTTTATGAGCCATCAAAAACTCCTCACCAGAGGTTTGAATTGTGACCAGATGCTCCGAAAAGTGCTTTAAAGTAAACTAACAGACTGGTTCAGGGGGAAATTAATTCAAGTGTTTGCCGTCAAAGACGAGGAGCTCACAGAGAGACAGCACAGCGCTTCAACAATCAAAGAAAAGCAAATCCTCTGAGCCATCCCTCCTCATACCACCCAAGTCACAGAACCACCCAGCTCGAAAGAAAAACAGACCTCATCGTGAGTCCCACTGGGAGCTGCTTCCACTGTGTTTTGTCTCTGTAGTTTTTCTCTTTCTAAATTTACAGCGCTGTGCTGTCTGCTGCTTGTGTAAGTGACCCCCGGGTGAGGAAGTGTCTGCCCTCGCTGGTCCACGCCTGACCTCAGCGCTGCTCTTAATCTCGACGGGATGACAGAACAGCTGAGGAATTTCTCTGCTCGGTGCCTAAACTAACCTGTCAAGATGCTCCCTTCAGGCTTGAGCACGTTCCTCCGTTACGTCCCCGCCGGCTCTCACGTGGGCCTGCTTTGTTGAAATATGACCTCCAAATACCAAACTCTGGCCTTAGTAACCTCTCCAAACACTGCCCACCTACGTGCAGATGCATCCGGAAAATGTCTCTCCTTGCCACAGTATGTTCAGTTTAAGGCTGCAGACAGATGGCGAAAACCAGCCCCTCCTCGGTGTACCTACCTGTACGCTGGATTGTGTTTGTTGAGGACAGATGTCAAGTGCCAGCCTGCCTTTCTACCCCTATTTCAAACCTTTGCAGATGCTGCTCTGTGCTTGTGTAGAGCCAACGACTGACTCCTCCAGATGTTGGTGTGGGGCTCCACAGCTGAGCAAACAGCCGATGTCTTCTCTACAGCATGACATGTTTAAAATGACACGCTGGTCCAAAAAGGAGGAGACCAGCTGAGCTCTCAGGAGCACAGCCAGCCTGATACTCATCACCTGATGGAGCCATTAAAGTTTCCTGGAGTTCAAGATCCTCTAAACAAAACAGTGTAAGTTAGTAAAAAAAAGCATCTGGTAAGTACAAACATGGTAAAAACAGCGATGAGCAAAGCGCAGAGAGATCCTGCCAGGAATAGGATCAACATCTGTCACGGGTCATTTCTGCAAATTTGCCTCATTTATGCCTTAAATGTACCCATAGTATATACAGTGTCTTTGATTCAGAAGTGAAGCTGCTCCACAGGTGCCTTTAGATGCATTTTTCTGAAAACCGGTAGGGGGCGCTTCTGCTGGTTTTAAAGTGAAATCTGATTGCGAGAAACTTGATAGAAAAATTCGCCTATTTGTTCAATAATCACCAACATGAAACAAAAAGAGTCAGGCAGGGTGACCATGCGTCCTCTTTTACCTGGACATATCCTCTTTTTGGGGGGCTGTACGGCCTGTCCGGCCTTGTCTGGGAAAGTTTATTAAATCCTTCAAATATCTAGGTTTTGTATGAAAGTTTTTAGTTTGTGTTGTGTGGACCAACTGAATCAGAAGTGGGTGAAAAACACTCGACCTGACGTGAAAAACTCTCAAAATTTTTCACAGGACTCCGCTTCCCATGTAGTTGTGTCCTCTTTTTGCAGATTCAGAATATGGTCACCCTAATTCAGGTTAAAGCACCAGTTACAAATCTAATTTTTATATACCGGCAACCTGTGATGTAAAATAACTACAACCAGAGTAAAACATCTAGAAATCCTTACATCCAGCTTACAAGTACTGTTGTTACACACAGAAGGAGGGAGGTAGTGCGTACAACCTAACCAGACAAGGCTGAGCTTTAGCCAAATCAGGCTTCTCCTCCTGGATCTTCCTTTCCTGACCTCTTTCGAAAATTCATTCTCCCCCCATCCCTTCTTTTTCACCTCCTAAAAACAAGGATCTAAGGTGGAGGTAGTGCATACAGCCTAATTGACAACATCCAATCTTGAAGCAGATGCAGAAGAACTAAAAACTGCAGTTCCATGACTCCCCACTAGGGGCTGGCTGCAGACGCAAAGAAAACACGTTTGCAAAAAATGGTTTTGGTCTGAATGGATCAGGGCTCACACAGAATCAGTTTTACGGGATGGACATTTTTGTCATGCATTGTTTCGTAGTCATCAGAGCTTCACTATGTCCAGTTATAGTAGAGTCTATGGTACAGCCTGACTCTGACATGCTTTGGCTCTTGTTAAATGGGTATAAATTACATGTATTTATTTATGCTGCGTTTGAGTTACCTCGGAAGTCAGATGTTGGAGCTGAAAATGATGTCACACCCGAGTTACCAGCATTTCAGTTACCAAGTTGGAAAAAAGCAAAATCGGAGGCAGAAACAAGATGGCTACATCTACGAAAGTTATATTCGCACTTGCCTCGTCCAAATATAACAAGGAAAAGGGCTAAAATAACTTCCGTAGATGTGGCCATCTTGTTCCTGCCTCCCATTTAGCTTTTTTCTGACTTGGTAACTGAAATGCTGACATTATTTCCAGCTCCGACATCTGACTTCCGAGGTAACTCGAACGCAGCATTAGCACAAGGGTTGTGTTCCTTTTGAGTTGGTTAACCTGTGAATGTCGGTATTTAGCCTTAAACCCAGCTGTACTTAGGTGAGGCCTCAGACGGGATTCAAACTTGAACCGCCTTTGTTCAAATCCAATATTCAACCTTTGAAGTAATCTCTCGCTGAAATAGTCACTGTCTGTAAATATTGTCAAGAAAATTCCAAGACAGACAGGCCTGGAGTCGACTCAACAGGAGTTTGGGGAACTTTCCAGACACTTTCAATAACAGAGACAATCTATTTTGGCAGGGACGCACCTTGGCAACTTCCAATGTAAACCATTTCAATTGGGCTTAATCTCCGTGGTCGGCTGCTTTCTTAAGATGAAGCTGAGCTGTGTTTTGTTGTAAATACCCAACATGTGTGTATTTAACAGTGCGTACACTGTCTGGAGCCTGTGTGCTTTCCATTACTGTGGTCAAACACACTTCATAGTGTGTATAAAACATGTTTGAGAGTGATATTTTTCAAGGTAAATACATCTTTGATTCAGGTGAAGCAAAACCCACTTCAGAATGAATCAAACGTCTGCAAGCTTTGGTGTTTCTCCTTTTCATTCTTTTGCCGTTTGTAACAGTCTAGCGATTGCAGCAAAAACACATTTGTACTCTGTAAAAATGTCTTTGGAGGACTCTTTGGCAGGTTGTGTCAGTCCTCCCACTGAGAGAAAATATCCACGTGCTATTAAACGCTTGTCATGAATGAAGCCAGGAAGCAGCCGGGAGATATTTCTTCTTACATGCGCAGAGGAAGAGAGTGAAGTCAAAAGGCCCCCATTCATGGTCCTCTGGCTGTGTTTTAGTAGATATGGCACGGCTGTATAAGATCCTGCGGGTTGTGTCTTCACAGAGATCTGTCAGTAAACATGCCGCCAGCGTCTGCCTGCAGTCCTGTTTGTCTCTGAGGCCGCAATCTGCGAGCGTCACTCAGAGTAAAGATCCTCCATTCAACAGGACAAGATACGGATTCAGTCCTGCACAGAGTGGACATTCAATGCACTCCTGTCTGCTTAAAGGAAAGTAGATTTGAAAAGGATCTTTTCTTCATTTATACTTTGAAAACCTGCAGTAAAGCGTTGGCTCGCAGCTTCCATTCAGACAGATTCTTTAAGGATCAATTATCAGTGGATACACTGTGATATTCTGGCATGTCTTAAGGTCAAACAGAAAGTTGAAGTTTTTGTTCTCAAGAGAAAAGAAAGAGTTACAATAGTAAGAAACTCCTCACCAACTTTATTCCATTGAATCCAACATACTGACATTGAATGATGAGCTTTTCAACAATGATAATTATAATAACGATTTTCCACATTTTCCATTCTCTCCGTCAGACACATGCGCACATTCATACAGACACTAACAAACATATCATTTAACATCAAGAGATATACTTAACAGATGTGACCAGCGAGTGGTTCAAGGATGACAAGGCGGATATTCCAGACTTTTCTCATCGTCAACAAATCTAATTGAGGGTCAAGCAGGTAATGAACTAATCGGTGACATCTTTGAATCCTTCTTTTGTGCCATAAAACTCCAACAATGTCCTTTAACTTTTTTATTCCAAGAGCAGGTCTAGACCCAAGACCCAACCTTATGATGGGACAGATTTGACCCATCTCATCTAACATGAGTGACAGTGGCAAGAAAAAACTTCTTCAGGTAGAAACCAGTTTGTAAATTTAGGACCTTTTTGTTTTGACTTAATACCAAAAACCAGCAAATTCGCCATGAATAATAAGGTGGTGAATTCAAATTTAAGGCTGAAATCAATCCCTTTAAAATAAACTTTTTTGTTGTTTGAATGAAAATGAAAAATACAGCTGTTTAACAAACTAAAGTCATAAATTTCAAACTTTGTACTCTGAAAAGATAAAGAGTCGCATCATCTGACAAACACATCACTAATCTTGATTTCCTTAAAAAGGTGTGTTGACAATTTAAAAAATGCAGAATATCCTGTCCTTTAAATAAAAGTCAAAAAGAAAAAAAAATGATGTGCACATAAAATAAAGAAAAGGCAGAGACAAAAAAAACAAAGACAACATGCAACAACAACTGATTCAAGCAAGTAACCAGCATTCAACAATAAAACATACGAGACAACAATACTTGACAATATTGAGGCAAAAACACCCAATATGTCTGTTTGTGAATGATGGCACATTTGTAGAGATAAAAAAATCAAGTAAATGTGAGTGTCTCACAAGTAAAATGTACAAAAACTGTGTAAATATTAAGGCTTAATCAATGCACAAGACAAGTTGGTCACTTTACCAATTGCACTTTTTGTTTGTTGATGTTGCTGCGGCAACAGGGAGAGATGATTGCTGCAAATCTCCTGCAGAAAAACCTTTCGAGAGATGATTTCAACCCCTGAAAAAAACACAGAAGTGGGAAAAAATTCGATTTTTTGAGTTAAAGTGTCATCACTGCGTACAAACACAACAGCAACATAGCTGGGTTTATCTGCATGTGTAGAGCTATAAACCCCAGGTACTGTATGTGCTACCGAGTATTTTGCTGAAGTTGCCCAGTTTCATCTGTGTTCAGATCCCCACATGCAACAGAAACATTCATACCTTGTCACTCTGCAGTTGCGTGTCTGCACGTAGATCCCTGTGTATGTAATGTCACATCTCACGATGTTGTTTGTGAAGTCTGACTCCAACACGTGGAAATTTGGATTGACGGTAACCTGCAAAAGTGTAAATAAAATGGTTCAAGTTGCTTTGCAGGCACATCTGTGTCATAAATCTCTATGACAAGACAGTCATGTGGTGTTACTCTGAGTTACCTTTAGAATGTAGTTCCCTGGAGGCACGTCAGTGATGTCGATCCACTGACAGTCAATGTTTGCAGCGTAGACATCGTGGCATCCCGGACTCAGTCCCTGAAAACACATCATAAACCCCCTCCAGTGAGTTTTAAGAGTCTGACTGAGACACTCGAGATGAATTTGACTATTTTCCTACAAGAGCAGCAAATGAGGCAGATTTGAGTTTTAGTTATTCAAACATGTCTTTGGAAGCAGAGTTGTTACTAGACACCGGCACTAAAACGAAGCAGTGCAAAGCCAGAAACACAGAGCCAGACAACAGATATAATAAATATTCCAATGTCTTCAGGATGTGATTTTTTTTCTTATTGGCATACATGAAGTGTAGTAATAAAAACATTTCTCAGAACAGGATATGGAGGATGTGTAATCCAGACTTTGAAACACCCTCTAAGTAACTGCATAAATCAGAGCTTTGAACCCTCCACTGGGTTTGGTTCGACTTAATTTGAATAATGAGGGATTAAATACAGGTACTCTCACTGGCTGGCTACCTGACTGTTTAATTATCTGCATAAACTGTCATATTTTCTTTCGTCTAATGAAGATTTGAAACATTAAAAGGGGCATTTCACAAATTTTAAACATCAAAATGTGACACTCGCTATAATTATTTGCTTTGGAAAGGTAAAATAAAACTTTTTCTTCAAAGAGCTGTAAATCATCTAGTCTGACGCCTACCTCCTCACAGTAGTTACAGGCATTAAAACAGCTTCATAATAGTTTCCATTCCTGTCATTGAAAGCCTTGCTTGCCCCTGTAGCCATAAAGCCATCACCGTTAATTTCAGCCAGTTTCATAAGCAGTAGATACTCCTCACAGTAGCTGTAACTAAAACAAAAAAAGTTTTAAAGTTTTGAAAAGGTCTACATTATTAAAAAGAAGTTTTAAAAGACTGATCAATAAGAATTCAAATTATAGGACCTACATCCATGACAAATTTCCCTAAGGGGACAATAAAGTGTATCGGATCGTATCATATCATATCATATCGTATTATATTATATCAAATCATATCATATCATGTCGTATCATACCATATATTACATCATATATCATATCATATCATATCAAATCATATCATATCATATTGTATAATATCGTATCGCATCATATCGTATCGTATCGTATCGTATCGTGTCGTGTCGTATCGTACATTCTGGGTCTTGACCAGTTCTAGAGAATTAAAACTGGGATATCTCAAGCCTCAGATGTACAGATATCTTTAAAAATAATGTCCTTTATTATTATTATTATAAGCCCACATTTCCACAGGTAAATTAGCCAGAGGCCTTTCAGCTTAATTTTAATATCTGAAGAATTTTATTTTCCTTTTTTCGATGTTGTTTTAGTTGTCAGTAGTTTTTTAGCTGTTAAAGGTTATTCCCAGAATTCAAACTTAACTTTTCTATGTACTAATGACGCTGCACCCACTCTTGTTATTCATTTAATTGCCTCAATTATGCTCCTCTGTATACTAAATGTCTCCAGAATGTCTTGAAAATGTCATCGTATCAAACCTGCACTTTTCATATAAACAAGCCGTGATTGGTCTGACTAATGCCAGACAGGAAAATCTGTCTGGAGCGGAGAAGAAGCAGACATCTGCCAGAGCAAATAAAACACATGTAGACTTGGTCTGATTCTCAGTCAATGATCTGATTTGATAAACGGTCGGCTACAAAACTATATCATGGCTTAACAATGACGGGACCCAACCACATGTAATCTTCTCCAAAGCTGACCTGACAACGTCTAACGTTCGGTCCGATCAGTTTAATAAAATTATATCATAAATGGAGCCGTGTTTGTTTGTTTGGAGCCATTCAGAGTGACTTATTTCTCACCTTCTGAGCTGCTAAGTGACTGAAATGTCATGTCTTAATCAGAATGACTCTACTAGATTGTGACTTGATATCAAGTAGGAAAATGTGACTTTATGTTCTCCTCCTCAAAGCTCTTGAAGTAAATGCATCTCACTTACCTGTGTGTGAGATGTGCAGGCGTAGCGTCGCCTGAATCCAGGGTCACAGCCTGTGTCCTCCAGACAGAAACTGGCCTTGTGTCCTTCAGCAACTTTACGTCCAGTGACAGTGTCCAGGAGGTCATAGTTACTGAAGGCGTCCATGCTGTGGAAATGTCTGGAAACAGAGGAGAGATCAGACAAGCTTGTTAGTCTATATTTTGAAGTCTAGATTGTCATGTTTTTGTGGGTGTGGTGTGGGTTTAAATCTGAGTGGACTCACTGGTGGCAGCTGTGCCAGTCCCACTGATATCTGGGCTTCACAGGGAGGAAGTCAGTGGTGCCCTGGTTCTTCACTTTCTGGGGGAAGCGCAGGAGGACTCTGAAGTCGATGTCTCTCACGTTTGGTCCATATGCAGACCTGAGGTGGATCACAGGAAAGAAAAAGCCATGAGCTGCTTTGGAAAATACCACTGGCTGAGCTCCGGCGTTAGTTTTGTTGAAGTGCAAACGGTTTGTTCCAGTGTGCTGACTGCTTTTGGGAAAATCAACCCAGAACATTTATGTGTTGGCAGGACATCACGGTGAAGAATCACTGCTCCATAATAAGATCAAACAGGTTTTGTCACTCCATCAACAGAGCAAAGAACCTTCCAAGGTGAAAATTAGACATGGTGATTTTTAAACAACCCACATTTCTGCTAAAACAAGGGAAATGAACCTTAGACGAACAGTTAAAACAAAGGAAATAACCGTGTGTGTGTGCGTGCGTGTGTGTTAGTCTGCGTACTGAAGGAGTGAATCACTTTTGGCAGCACAGATTACCTGGCCAGACAGTTCTCCTCAGCTGCACAGCGGAGCGCGTACATCTGCATGCGCTGGACATAAGCACCTGCCTGGATGGCATAAGGATCCGGCACCAAGTCTGGTAGACCTGAGGAGAAAATTTAAAGGGACAGTCCAAGTTATTAGGCATCAATTTGTGATTCTGATGTCCTATTGTTTCCAGTTTATCTCTGCTGAGAACTTTTCCCTAAGACAGACAGTGTCCTGGCTCAGAATAAGAGCGGCTGCCTGTGTTTGTTGGCATATTTCAAAATGTTTTACATTCCCGAGCTGTCAGTTTGTGTTCCAAACACCAAATAAGACTTTTTTTTCTGCTTGTCTGACAGTTTTTCTTCTCTCTGGTTTTACAAAAGATGTCCACACACAGAAAAAAAGAGTTTTCAAGAGGTAGATGACAGTGAAGGGTGGGTGGATTTTTTCATATTTTTAAACGCACTGATGAATCTTTTTTCTTTAAGATAACTTATATCTATGCCAACTGTGATGGCCTTCATATGATTAGGGTACTTCACTCACCATTCTGGAAATATCTTGTCCCATGTCCTGTGCCTGGTGGAGGGTTAGTGCGGGCCCCTGACCTCCCTCTTGAGGGATACATGTTGTAGAAAACAGAATTCCTGTGGTTCTTAAGCGGGTTTCGAGGGTCATCGTTACTCATGTCCTCTCGGTTACTGACAGCATCGTTTGTTGAATCCTCTATCAGCACTGGGAAAGGAGCAGGGGCTGCAGATTCCCTCTCCTGAGCTGTTGGATGTCCTGGGACTGATTGATCTGTCTGCGCCTGCTGCCTGGAGCCAGATATGGCATCTGGCACCGTGCGTAATTGTTGGTATTGCGCACCGGGACCTGGGTCTCCCCCTCTAGTGTGCAGAGCTGAAGTATCCACACCGGTACCTGTTCTCCTAGCTGGCAATTCTGTCAAACTACCGGCTGCTGCAGAGGAGTTTGTAGTGGTGTGCTCAGGGTTTACGCGTCGTGCACTTGAGTAGCTTGCAGCTCCTGTGAGGAAAGGGCGCTCAGGCTGCTGTGCGGCACCTGATGCGCGTCCATTAGAAGGCACAAACTGTGTGGCATCATGTCCTGGACTGACAAATCCAGGTTCCACCTCGCTAACAGTCCTAAACTGTCTGGATTCGGTCTGTCTGGGTCTTACAAGCGTCGCTCCTCTGTGCGCAACCGGCATTTGGCTCCTTGTGCCATCTCTCCTACTGCTCACATAAACTCTCGTCTGGCCCCTGGACCGAACGGGAGCCTGGTACTCCATACCAGTGCTCATTAAACTATAAACCTGCCCATTGTTCTCCCACTGAATCCGGTGCCTCCAGGGGCCAGCTGTGCGCTGCTGCTGCCCAAAGATGATGGGAAGTAGTCCTTGGAAGAAGTATAAAAATAAAAGAGACCATTTCGCCATTGCAGAAAAAAAGCACAAGAATATAAAATGAAATAAAATAAACCTGTATTTCAAAATGAGAAATTAAGCAGCAGAGGAGATGAGTCACGCGCACAGATGTTGCTCTGAGGAGAGTGGATGAGAAGCAGGAGTGCGCTCTGAGCTCCTCTCACACACAACAACATAGCAGGAGGACAGGAGGAGAGCAGAGGAGGGCTGGAGAGTTTTTCTGCTCGTTTATCGAATTCAGCTCGGTTACCAACGCAAAGTTAAAACTCTCAGGAAAATTTAACCCCTTCCACGCCGTGGTTCAGTTCCGTTACACAAGCCTTACACAAGGACGTTTGCAGAGTAAACTTTACGCACGGGTGTGAACTGAAGTCATCTGAATGTGGCCGTTCAGGCTGGTTATTTTCTTAAAACCAGTCAGCACAGATAGAGAACAGATCATCTGGCCTCATTGTGTAATAAGCAGTTTTATTTAAATGACCAGAAACTTGTAAACATCTAAACTTTCTCAGTTTCCACGTCATGTTGGTGTTTTGATGGTGGTCCTAAACATTAATAAATACACAGCAGGTGTTTAGAACTAAATTCAAGCTAAAAGAAATACATGCTGCTCTAAAGCTCCACCACAAGGCGGCAGGCTGCGTCTGTGTGTCACCATCCTTCAGACAAAACAGCTCAAGGATCAGTGACTCTGAGGAATCCTGCAGGTCCAGTGATGAATCAAGCTGTGATTATCCAGAGCTTATTTTGCTTTTGTGAAATCTGTTGATTCAAAACGTCCAAAAACAACTTACATGTGTAATAAGCACATCACATCTTTGATAACCAAACCAATCACTCTGTTCATCAACTGTGATAACAAAGTAGTAAAACTAAAATGTAGTCTCTTTATTCTCCTACCAGTCACAGCGTTAGAAAAGTAAAACAATAGGTGTAACACTGAACCAAAGAAGACCCAGATGCAGACTCACAGGCTGGCAAAATCAAAAAGAGTCAGTACACAGGAACCAAAAAAAGCAAGGCAGAGGTATCCAAATTGACAGGCAAGAGGCTGAGGCAAACAATACTAAAGGAGGTCAAAACACTGAGGCAAACACTAGAAATATATGCTGGAACTCTGACACTGTGAGCAAGACGAACTGGCAAAGAGGGAAGGGAAAGCTGGGTTTAAATACACCAGGGCAGTGGAGTTAATGGGACACAGGTGAGACACATCAGGGTAATCAGGGCAGCAGGTTACACAAGGAGGAGGAAGTCATTGAACCTGAAACAAGAGACAAGTGTGAGTATCAAAATAAAACAGGAAACACAAGACAGGAAACATGAGGGATGATGAAAAAAAACAACGTAACTGATTCATCACTGGACCTGCAGGATAGTCTCCACTACGGTGTAGACTGATGGGGATCCTTAATATCCTAAACTAAACTAATCAGGAGAATTCATTACAGTTAAAGCTCCCATAGTAGACTTTGAGTCTGTGTATATTTTGGCGCCCTCCTGTGGAGAAAGAGGCTATTCCTATCTATTTGCACAAAAATTCCATCTTGTACTCATTTAACAGTTAAATACTTCACTTATTAAGAAGTGTGAGATTGAAAATGCACGAAAGGCAAAGGGCTATAATGAGAGTATCTCATTATAAAGTAATATAGGCTAAATGATACATCTGGATTTAAAGAAGCAGCAGTTCAATACAATGTTTTTTAATCTCTTTTAAGAACCATATAAACCACTAAGAGGTTTGTTAATTCTCACCAGGGGTCCATTAACTCCTATTGTTATGATAATGCTATCATTCATTCACTGATTATCTCTCGTATTATTCACTTAAAGCTGCTAAGCTCTTAATTAATGTGAAAAAACTCCAGCATACTGTCTCTCTTTTGTCTCGCTTTTACCAAAACTGATGGACAGATCCTGGAGCCCTTTGAAAAATGCTGGCATCTGAGTCATAATAGGCAAAAAGAAAAAGTTTCTCACAGGAGCTTTAATGCTTGTCTGAACCACAGAGAACAAAACATTGATGTAGATCTAGCAGCAGTAGCACCTTTAAGTTTGGTGAGAGTGACCCCTAACCACACGAATCCACACATAACCCTTCAGGCCATAAACATGCTGAATTTGGCTGTAAAGTAGACTTTTTTCGTGGGGTGTTCATGGGTATTTCTTGGCTTTTTGGGCCAGTCTCAAGTGGAAACTTTAGGAACTGCAGTCTTGTATATTTCTGTATTAGCTTCATTGTTTTAACACTGAAGGTTGTCACTTGGTGTTTGTTGATTTAGATGTATAAAAAAGGTAACATACTGTATTTTTCCTGAAGTACAAATTTTAAACTCTGATGAGAAAATATGAGCTTTTTTTGATTAAAGTCTGTTATTAATAACTGCCTCTATTATCTCGGAGCAGGATGAGCCACACCACCCTGCTCTACAGCTCAGACTTTGTCACCTCTCAAATGAAGAGCCAAATAGGGCATGTGGATGGTGAGTCTGTCCTCTTCTATTTTTACTCTCTGAAACCTCCCCCTGATTCAGAGTCCGGCCCCGCCTGCTCTCCGAAGCTGCTGCTGCTGCTGCAGTCCAGATTTATAAGAGCCACAAATCCTCGGCACTGGTTTGGCACAAGACTTCCCGAGCAGGACATGTAAGGCACAAAAGTTAGCCAGTAAGTATTGATGTTGAATTGAGTCTTTCTTGTGTGTCTGACGTGAAAGTAAACAAATCACAACAAATGTTGCCACCAAAACTAATCTTTACTGTAAGTTATCAGTGTTTGGAAATAAAATAAACACTTTGTGGTTGTTTTCTTGGTACACCTACAGCAGCAGCAGCAGCAGATCCTTCCCCGTGTGAAAGACTAATTCTTTTACGCTTTGAATATATCTTATCCCATGAATCTAGGTATCCAGGGCTGCTCACAGCTTTGCTTCTTGTGAGATTAAAGGAAGATGATGGTCTTAAAATGGTTTTACCACAAGAAAACTCCCCCAACAAGGAATATACCTGTTGTCTTCCCCTGAGGCCTCACACTGCCAGTCTGAGGAGTTTACACCTAAATGATAGATCCAGAGGTTTACCACAGAGCATGGGGAGACAATGCAGGTGAGACGCTGAGCAAAATGTTTGAAAGAAATGAAATGAAGTGGAAATACTGTGCTGTGTCTGAGTTTGGAAATAAAAAGTTGTTTAAACAGCTGTTTTAAAATAGAGATGTCTGAGAAATGATGAATTACAGGATATTTGACATCTGCAGATCTGCTCAAGTTTCTTGTGACACCTGTCTTGCTTATCGTCGATTAACCATTGCCAATAATCGTTGCTGCCAACGCTCCTCACGTTTCAGCTTCAGGCAACCTGTTTCTGTATTCACGTTCGTAGATCGGCACGTGGCAAAGTAAGAGTTGAGAGTGCTTAATATGTGAGCTATTAAAAACTTGGTCTAAAGCACCGCCAAGGAATGGACCCTGACCTAAATACCGGACAGTGTAAAGAGTAAGGAGGTAACTCTGACTAAAGGCTGCCTCTCTGTAAGCACTCTGTGATTCAATCATTTTTATCTCCTAAAGTTTGAGGAACAGAGATCTGAGCAGTCAGAGAAATATAATATAAAATATTAATTTTCAGAGCAACAAAGTCCTTTTGTGAATTTAGTTTTTCATAAGAACTACATAAACTTAAATCTTCTGCTCCAATCTAAGAGAGTTATTTACATCATGCTTATTTATTGTAAAAATAAATCATGTATGAGTTAACATGATGAAATATAAAGCCAATTGGATGCATATAAATAATATTTATGCAAAAGGCCTATTAAAAATAAGGACTAAGGAACAAAAATACTTGCATATGTGCACTGAAAGAGCCGCAAGTTTAAAACTTAGTTGTAGTTGTTATTTAATCATCTTTAAAATTATATATTATTCAAGTTTATCTGTACTATATTATCTATTGTACTATATTATCAATTTATTTTGTCAATGAAGAATAGAATAATGACAATAAATTCAAGCTTCATTAGCAGTTTGTTAGCTATAAATTGTCAATACTTTATATTGATAATACTTTTAAGGAAAAGTTGCCAAAATCCGGAAAATGTAAAAGCAAGAAGAAAAGCTGAGACAAAAAAAAAACAAACTAATCTATGACTTCTCTGAAATTGCCAATAAATATTTGTAATGAATTATTTTAGCATAAAAACATATTCATAGTATGTTGGCCTCAGCTGTATCATAGAGCAGGCGTGAGTCGTATGTGCTGCAGTTGTAAACCTGCTCCTCAGCTGTCGGTGTGAAACTTTACATGTGTCACTTTTGTCCTTCGTTTCTGTAAACTGATCAGGATCAAATGACAGTTACATAATCAGCCATAAGTCAGCCTTATTACACCTGAATAGACGACAGACATTTAACTATCGTGGTATCTATAACGTAATAGTAGGTAACATTATGCTTTACAGTTTTCTAATTAGCTTGGAAGCAGCATGCTAACATTAAATATAATGGTTATAGTTAAAGCGGTCAGAGTTAATCTCTAATGCATTAAGGTCTAATATTAATGCATGATTTTTTTTCATCATAAGCTGTTTTGTCCCTTTTGGCGAGCCGTAGTTTAACTGCTGCAGCATCTTCCTGCTTCTTGCTGCCACAGCGGAGCATTATTTTGGAGCATGACAATCGCCACTCACCTGTGGATGAAACTACATTGTGGGTTTAAGTACACGTCATTGCACTTATTAGATTCCTAAAACATGATAAAGAATTACTGCACACTGTTAATATGGACTCAGTGACTGTTTATTCACTGTTAATCGCTATTGGTCGTTGAAATTCAGTGATTAGACATGATAGAAAATATTTAGTTTGGCAGCTCTAATTTATTCTAATGTAATAGTTGTCAAATATGGGTCCAGCCTGGGCTCCAAACAGTATGTAAAACTGCAAAGTGTTATTGATTTTACACGTTGAATAATCTTTATCAAACCAAGGTCATAACTGAAGACAAAAAGTAGGTAACAATAATTCTTATGTCTTAAATTAAACAACATTTTCTGCACTTTTAAAAAGCCACAGTTAGAGCTTTTATTTAGGAAAGATTCAAATTTAGTATCTCTAATTTTTAGCTGATTTTGTCATGTACAAAAGTAAGTTGTATTTTCTGATGAATCTCACTGACATCTGCTGTCTTTAGAGTTTGAAGCAACCTACTCAACATGAATTTGGGGTGTAAACTTGTCTGACTCCAACCTACCTGCAGTAGTAAAAGACATAAAAATAACTACTTATGAATAGTTTGTCTCATTCTGATGGTTTTTATTACTTTTTAAAGCGATTATAAAGACTAGCCAGCTTTAAACTTCTCACATGAGCATTAAATAGTGTTTATAGATGTTAAAATCAGCTGTGTAACTTTAACAACTCTATAAAACTGCAAAGGATTATTAATATTAAAATAGGTGTGTAGTTTTAAATCTAACTGAAGGAGTCAGACTCTTTGAAAAAAGTTGATGAATCTCACTGACATCTGCTTTCTTTTGAGTTTGAAGCAACCTACTCAACGTGAATTTGTTATGTTTAATAAAAAAAGGGGTGTAAACTTGTCAGACACCAACCTACCTGCAGTAGTAAAAGACATAATAACTCCTTATGAACAGTGTTTCTCATTCTGATGTTTTTTATTACTTTTTAAAACTTCTCACATGAGCATTAAATAGTGTTCATAGATGTTAAAATCAGATGTATAACTTTAACAACTCTATAAAACTGCAAAGGATGAATATTAAAATAGGTGTGTAGTTTTAAATCTAACTGAAGGAGTCAGACTCTTTGAAAAAAGTTGATGAATCTCACTGACATCTGCTTTCTTTTGAGTTTGAAGCAACCTACTCAACGTGAATTTGTTATGTTTAATAAAAAAGGGGTGTAAACTTGTCAGACACCAACCTACCTGCAGTAGTAAAAGACATAATAACTCCTTATGAACAGTGTTTCTCATTCTGATGTTTTTTATTACTTTTTAAAACTTCTCACATGAGCATTAAATAGTGTTCATAGATGTTAAAATCAGCTGTATAACTTTAACAACTCTATAAAACTGCAAAGGATGAATATTAAAATAGGTGTGTAGTTTTAAATCTAACTGAAGGAGTCAGACTCTTAAAAAAAGTTTTAACAATTGTTCATTTATATGTTATAAAATGTCCACAGAAGAATAAAAATGTCGAATTTGACTGTAATCATAAAACCAGCTCAGTTGTTCCCACTTGTTCAGTCACAGTGAGTCATTCATTCAGTGCTGAAGCCACAACTGTTCACATGCCTGTGGGGTCCTTACTCAGGGGGTCTGTTCAGCATGTGACAGCCGCTAGTCTAATATGTCTGTACCTCTCCGCCCAAATATGGGCGCCCCGCTGTACTTTTTGGGGGTTGCCATAGCAGCGGGTGACGTTGGAGCACATGCCACCCCACAAGGTTCTCACCTTACCAGCCCTCCCAGTGGTGGCGTGTGGGGACTGGCCCCTGAGTCAGAGGCGGCTGTGAAGAGAGTGGGGTAAGGGTGGGTGTGTAAGGGGTCAGTAATTGGCTGTGCACTTGTAAAATATATTCCCCTGCCACCCCCCGGCACTTAGCCTAAATATAAACTGGCAGAGCAGCCGGCCTCTGCTCCAGACCAACTGTTGGTATGTGAGGATTCTTAGAAACGTATCACAAGACCCTGAAACACCCCCGCGACACGCACCCTCTGCCAGGTCCTGGTCTAGAACTGGGTGGTGTACAGTGAGGCGAAATCAGATTTTAAACTAAACACATGCAGCTTTGAATAACAGTTAAGTATCTCAGTTAAAAACAAGTGATTCATTTTATGGTGGGATGATAAAAACAGATAATAAATACAACCTTCAAGGTCGAGACATGACTCACTGAGTCTTCTCCTATCAAAGTATCAATAAAAGTGAAAATTTACCATCTTTGTTTCACCTCATTTCTCTGATGACTGTGTTGGCTCAGTGGAGAGTGTGGGGGATGACTTTTTCAGAGGTCGCTCGATCTTTGAAAGAACCTGTAAATCAAAAAAAAAAAAAAAGTGTCTGAGTGGTTGTTGAGGCTGCAGACATTTTGCTTTCTAACACAACAAAGCTACAGGCTTGAATACTTAAAAGCTTTACTGACGTGGCAGAGACGCATCAAAAGGCCCTGAAAGTCTGCTGAGGCTGACTAAATTTAGAGCTGGAGGAGGCCTTTGAGATCTTGTAAGCGTTTCTCATAATTAACAATGATCCTGTTCGCTCAGATTGGTCGTTTTAGTGCTTATTGCTTTGCTGGGATGCCTGATTTGGCCATTTTGCGTCATTGACAGTCACACAAAGGATATTTCAGGGACTTTAAAACTCATATTATGTTATTATTTTGCATATAAAAAGCACAGGAAAGAAAACCTCAAGTGTGTGTCTTGAAGATGCTTAAACATTAGTCTTATATTACATCCTGGTGTTGAACATGGCAGTTTAACGGGGATCAAATCAGAGCACCTCATTTGTTTGGCTTTTCATTTGTTGTTTTATTGAGGCTCTTTATCTAATCTGAGCCAAAACACATTAACGATAAGTCATAAACATCATACTGTAAAACGTGGGAAACATGGCCTCTCTGTGACCTCGTGGGAGTGTGCGGTGAGTCAGGAGACAGAAAAAAAAGACAGGAAACATCAAGTGGATTCAATAGTTTCATTCGGTTGCGAGACACAAATCCGTCCCCCCAGTGGGTTTGTTAAACTTTTATGCTTTTACATACAACAAGATCAGAGTGAAAATCTGTTGCAGGTGTCGAACACTGGGCGGTCCAGAGATGGTTGATCATTTAGAAAAAAAATGAAGGTTACACAGGGTTATATAAAACAGAATTCTTCTGCCTTAAGTTCTTAATAAGTTACAGGATCAACTATTTACAAAATCAGGCTAGAAGTACAGAGTTGGGGTCACACATTGAAGCACATTATTTACAAGTCTATACACAGATCCGTGGTTGTCCCCGTCCTGCTGTGGAGAGACAGAAAGGAGAGGAGTTAGCGACGGTGAACAATAGAGTCGTCAGTGATCTGTTTGTGAAAGCCTGTTTGGATTTATTTACCTATAAGTTGTTGAGCAGGCAGTTCTGAATGCTTTCGTACACTTTACTGTAGATTTCATCCTTTGAAGTCATCCCATCGAGGTACTCTGATCAGAAAAAGACAAATTAAAAGAGATTATTTACAATCAGAGATGAGGGCAAAAAAGGCTTTTAATTTGAAAGGGAAGAACAAAAATGTAATTTAACATACGTATTCTGTCACAGTTGTTTTCCATCTCTTTCCTATGTTTCAAGTACATGGGCCAGACGTGGCCGTCAAACAGGTCAGGGGGGTCAGGGACTGTGTATGTCCTTGTACTGCAAAGACAGAACAGATAGAGTCATGTCCAGGTCTGTAATGTCACATTTGACGCTAAGGTGAAACCCGTCAGGGTCATTTGAAGGGCTTGTTACCTTCTCCTCCTCTTGCACTCCTCATAAGGAATGGAAATGTAGAAACATTTGTCGTAGACGTCGATAAGAGGCCTGCAGAGGGGGAGAGCAGAGGCAGGGGTCAGTCAAAAGGTCAAAAGGCCTGCGGTTGACATTTCAGAGCTACTGTAAGTGAGGAGTGAGGAGCGAAAGAGGACCCACAGGTAGTTGTAGATGAGGAACCCTTCGATGAGGAGAATATGGATCCCCTTCTCTGAGTCGGCCCCCTCAGCTTCAGGTGACAGGCTGACACCGTGGGAGCGGGCGAACTTGACCGGGTTCTCCTGCCAGCCTTTCACAGTGTTCACCATGGCCTCCATGTCCAGAGCGGTGATCACTGATACACAACAAGAACAGAAAACACAAGAGCGGCCTTCACCACACATGCAACAAACCCCCCTCACTAATGTGCTTGAACACATCAGTCACCATTAGTGAATGTCTGTAGCATCCACAGAATTGATTAAGTATCATTAAGTTAACCATTGATTGGTTACCAAACTAGAGAAATGTGTAGGAAAGAAAGAGTACATTACTGCATGGTTTTCCTACAGGAAATCCATTCTTACCATCCCACTGTCTAAAGCCGTCCTCCCCGACTTCTATTTGATCGGGTTTCTGAAATAACAGTCACCAATAAAACATTGCTGCAACCTAGTAACCAGCCGGAGCTGATGGCACCTGGACAGGACAAGTCAAGGACTCGTCTCCACCTAAAGGAGTGCGCGCTGACATTTCGGAGAGCGATTTGAAATGCGTTGGCGGGATATCGGTGGCAAAACCTCACGACACAGCTTCCTCCAATTATGTTCTTTTACTATTTACGTTTTTAAACTGTGTCGGTAACATTTAATTTCTGTGTATCGAAAAGTTCTCCCAAGAATCAATCGTTTTCAAACTGCTTTTTTTTTTTGTAAAATGCGCTTTCGATTTTTTTGTTGTTGTGTATGTGTTCGAGTAGTGAATATGTATGACAGGATTACATCGACTCAGTGTTTAGAAAAAAAGGCAATCGGTGGTCAATGAGTCTTAGCGGTCCCTGAATGCAGCACCAAAGGATGTGGTTGTGTTAGAAATTAAATCTGGGGTTAATGGTCATGCAAAAAAGAGCTGGTTGCAGGATTTGCAACATGATTGGACCAAGTCTGACTTTAAGTGGGGACGTTTGGCCCTTTGATTGGCTGTCCAGGAGACAATCAGCCAGATGTATTACTAGGCTACTGAGACGACAGGACATCTGCAGGTCAGACTGGGGGAAACAAAATGTCCTCAAGGGCAAATTTAACCTAGTAAATTAACTTTATCATGAATGATACTTACCTTTACTAAACAATAATACATGAAATATAAATACTTTGCTTTTTAACTTAGCTGAGAGTGATTAAAATTAGCTCTAAACTTCAGAGGAATTGTGACTTTATTTCATCTTACCTTGAAAAAGTCATCCTGATGCACCACACAACAGTTGGGTAATGTCTTTAGAAGCTTATTTGTCAAAGTGGTCTTCCCACCGTTGGTCACTCTGAAAGTAAGGAACATGTTAAACCACACAGATGAGTAACAATCCATCTTCTTCTACTTGAGATTAAAAGACAAATCTTGATTCTGATGAGACTTACCCTCCAATGCCAATGATGATCTTCATTTTTACTGTTTTTTCTTTTTTTTTTAAATTGGTCACTTCTGGAATTCAGTAAATAAAAGCAGGGAACCCAGCCAAAGCAAACAGTCTGTCAAAGGCTTCCTCTGAAAACCTTTCCTTCTTCTCCGCCACAGGCGTCCCCCCCTTTTACTACTTCATTGATAGACAATCTCTCAGCTGGGTATTTAAAGGATTTAGCTGCAGCGTCACAGCCTCTGTCACTCTCGGCCCCCTTTCCCTGCAGCCAATAAGGCGGATCTTTACAGTGAGGCTGTACCAATGGAGAGGAGGGGGGGACCTGCAGGAAAGTAGATCCTAAATTTTCCACCTGCTGTCTGCTGTAGTCTGTGAACACCGGCCAAGTACGCGACAAATCCCATAGCTAACAGAGTTCTGGAAAGATAATAGAGAAATATGTGATAGGACTAAGCTGTGAATCAATAAACTAATTCACTCTTTGGAGGGAGCTGTGGTCACATGTGGAGTGTCAGACAGAAACTACTGTACACTGGAGCTTGTGAAACCTTCATTACACAAGTTTGGATCAAGTTATTTAATCCTTTTTAATTGAATGGTGCAAGTTTGAGGGTAAATGTGACCTGGATCTGAATGGAGGGCTTCAAAATGCACCTTCAGTGAATCCACCATAATAAACAAGCATATGAAAGTCACAGCCTATGACTGAAACATCTGTGTCGCAGCTTGGAGAGGGTTTACTTTGGATTTTGAGGGGAAAACTTTCCACACTCAGACAGCCCCGGGTGGGTAAAAACCAGAAGTTCTATATTTAGGGTCCTGTTGTGTGTGTGTGCCTCTGCGTCATGAATTTTTCTGATGCAACCTGCTGGAGTGTGCGTGTCCAGTCCACCACACATGTGACCACAGTGTCTCGAGTCATGGCTATCAGTCTGATAACTTCAGCGCCTTTTTCTTATCAGCTCTGTTTGGTACACACCTCCGGATGTTTGCAGTCTAACGGTGTGATTGTTGTGTTAGAGGTTTTGATTGTCACTGTAAAAGTGAAAGAGGTGAACTTCGAGTCCTTGCTATCAGAGCACGTGGTTTCATGTTCAGGGCTTCGTCTTTCACCTACAATCCTGATGGAGACGTTATTCCGGCTGGCACTGTGTGATGATGAAGTGCGGACGTCTTCAATCAGAGCAGATTGGCAGCCTTAGTGTGTTGTGGAAAAGGTTTTAGTTAAGTACAAGTGTAACATTCAGGCTCAGGAATAGCGATTACAAAACTGTCCCATATAGCATGACACATATAGGGCAGCACAGCATGTGGTGCACCATGTGGTCTGCATACTTTTTCTTCGTTGGACTCACAAGTCAGGCACAAAGCTGTTTAGTGAACAGACTTTCAGCACCAGCGCCACAACTATAATCTGAATTTACACATGGATACAGTCAAATTATCAACTTTTAAAGGCTTGAAAAGGTTTGATTTCTTTTTGTAAAACATTATTTGAAAGACTAAAATAACCTAACTTGTACCACTTACTAAATGTGTGTTAATTACAGCTTTTTAGACACAAGGTGATTAGCTAACCTTTGTAACCCCTTCCTTTTGAAGTATTTATTCAGTAACCACATGTAACCACTATTACCCATCAGTTTAACTGAACAATGAAAAGTTCAGTATTTACCCCCTTGAGACCTCTGTTACTTCCTGGTAAATACAAGGTCAAGACATTATCATACAAGGAAGTACTAACAGGAAGGTAGTGATGGAAAAACCACAGTTAAATAACTGTAATAAAACCAAGTACTTCACTGGGAGGTAATGTTTATTTCCCTGTCCAAAATCTGTGTAGTTATAACATCTAATTAAAAGCCTACTTTCCCAAGTAAGTACTGTTATATGAGAGTTTGTACCACAATCAACCCATCAGAAGAAGTCAATAGAAGAGGTTTCACTCAGTACTTTAGTCCCATAATTATTACTAACTTATTAATTACATTAATAATTACATACGGACTATAAAAAGGAAGAGTTACCAAACACTAGCTCCAGTGAAACATCCCATCTCAGTAATCAGCATCATCCTCGTGTCTTAATATCTATAAAACAGAAATGGTAAATGAGATGAGATGTTTCAGAGGTGTGCAGCAAAAAAGAGGTAAAGGTTTGAAGTAGAAATGCAGGAAATGTGATCATGCAACAATACATGAAAGATTAAGCTTTCAGTTTTAGCAGAATTAGAATAAGTCAAAGAACAAACAGGCTATTTGAGGACTACAGTTTTTTTTAAGGGCCAATCTTTCAACTTTTGAACACAAAATCAATGAGCCGTGCCCTTAAAATGAGAAAACACACTCAAGATAAAGTTGGGATCCCACAAAATGTAAGTCTCTCAATCTGATTGGCATGAATCAACATGACAGTTTAGTGTTTCCATTTCTGTTAAAGCAGGAAACAAGAAAAGGCAGAAGCAGGAGGCTACACTGGCGGCTTGTGTAATTTCCCTAACAGCTCATTCATCACTTCGCCAAACACATCTAAAGTGCTGCTGTTGTTTGACAGGTATATTTGAATATTTTGCTCTGCTCCAGCTGGATAGTCATATGTACAGCTTCTAATCTTTGTGCCATGCTACGCTAAGAGCTTCTTGACTTTGGCATTTCACAGTTGAGGCATATGTATTTTCTCATGTTACCCTCAGCCACATAGCAAACACTCCTATTTCAAAAATGTCACAATGTTCGTTACATTCAAGCTCACACCACCTTTTTTCCTTCTTTTAGTCAGTGATAACTACATTTTTACACTAAGGACTCTTCTGTTTATTATCTTAATACTGAAATGTGGTTTCACACTATTAAAGACTAAGAGACCAAGTACATGCAGAAGAAACTTGTACTACTGCCAAAGTTTACAACAGTTTGTTTCTTTAATACCTTGTGATCCAGCGACATTGTGTATAAAAATAAATGAAAGTGACCTCAGGAATATTGTGTTCATATGACCCCTTTGAAGGACAGCGCAGGACTGTCAGGTGACAAAACAACACATGCATAAATCCTAATTATGGCCCTCATCAGGAACTGTCTGTCAATATGTTCAGATTAGGAATCTATGACTTTTATTACCGCCTCTGAAGTCCGCGACCGAGGTGAACTTTGTTCTGTATCAGAGGTGACAGGGGCTGAGTCACAATCACAGCATGACAAAAGCCTGTTGTAGTTCACTCCTTTATTTTTTGTACAAACAGTAAATGGCACATTTTCATAAATAATACCTTTAGCTTTTTGACTCTCTCCTTAAATATATTTCTTTGATAACAATTTAGCTTTCCCTCTTGTAAAAGTCTCCATTGAAACATGATGGCAAACAACTTAAAAACTGACAGAGACGGAAGGATACAAACAAGCATGCCACCTCTGGAAAACTGTGTACACACGTTTGCATCAGCAACATTTACCGAAGAAGAACAATACCATCGCACATTATTTCCTATTCAACTGAAAGACACCCATGCCGTTCATTTTCAAAAACCAAACGTGTGCAATCACCTCTCAAAAATACATATATACAAGTATTTACACTTTGGAGCTGGAGTCCATAGTTGATCATGTTCTGTTTGTTTATATTTGAAGTCATGCTGTAGGTAAAGCTCCACTTGACATGCAAGGAGCTGATAGTTTTTTGATGTAGCTTTGTCCTTTTACGCTTTGGTTTGAGTTAACTGTAAGTAAGAAGCAAGCATGACACTGACAGTACTGTATTTGAGAAATGATTGTCTTGCGGGTAATGGATCCATTAGGGAGATTTGATCCCATCAACAAGTGTTTGATGTTGGTGCAGGCTGGTTCCTGTTTTACTGAGAGATTGCTCCCCATTGGTTCGTCGCTGTAAAGCTCTGTAATCAAAACAGACAGTTTAGTTGTCTTTTTTTCCCTGTAACTTTTATCCCAACAGTCTGAGATAATCTCCCTTGAGTTTGTCTAAAGCATGCACAAAATCTAAGCTAAATACAACTTGACACATATCAAGTTTGCCTATTTATTTTCCCCCTGCTTCCCTCCATGACATTAAGTAAGAGGCTGGTGTCTGTGTCCATTCCTGGGCTGACAGCCAGACACCCGGCTGATAGTTCCTTTGATATATAGAGGCTGATAGAAACGTACAAGTAAGGGGAGGGGGTTCCAAAATAACTGGCCCACCTTACCCACCCTGACATACCCCTGAGCCCTGCTGTGGTAGGTATTTCCCTCGATTTCAGGACAGGCTGTGCAGTGCGGATCAATTTGCCAGACGTAGGTGGTACAAACCATTAAAAATAGAATTGATTTGTTGTGTGCAGAGGGCTTAAAGAGATGAGCAGCTGTGCTTTATGTAACACTTTGTGTGGAGGGAATATGATGTGTAAGGATCATCTAACATTTCTTGGATTTGCTCACAGAGTCAATTTAAAGATGTGAAACATGACTTGGCAAAAGGGAGAAGGAGCTGGTCAGGATGACTGACAGTGATCATAAAGAAATAGATGTTGTGCTTTAGTCAAAATCCTCTCAGAAAAGAAAATTTAGTTTCTTTAACATTTTATTCAAATAGTCTTTGGAACCACAAAGGAGGATATCTGAATGAAAACTAAGAAGACAGACACGATAAGAGTTATTGATCATCTGCCTTTTCTCAACCTACTAGCTGTGTACCAAAGATTCACAAATAAAAAAAGTGTCATTATATACAAAATGAGCATCGGTTATATATCAGTTGTGGTGATAAATCAACCAAGAAGTGGACCTTTTTCCCCTCTAGCTTCATGGAATCAGATTTCTTCTCACAGCTTGTAGAATTTCACCCTGCTAGTGATGAGAAACAATATAGGTCTAAGGCACGTCTGTGTTGGCTCTACTTTTGAAACCAGAGGCTTCCTCCACCTCTGGGGGGAAAGTCTCAGAGGTCCTATCATCCTGTCATCAAAATTCTTGTTTTGGACCAAAATCACAAAATGTTCAATCAACTATGAAACACGAAAGAGAATCGTGTGTTCTTGAGTATTTTTCTACAAGACACAGTGAGAAACACCTTTTTTCTCACTCTCTCTCTGCTTCGTGGTCCCACTCTGACCCGATTTGGATTCTGGTACCCCTGACCCTGTTGACCTTGAGTCCATGACCCTGAACTCTGGACAGCTAAGCGTCTAGCATTTGGGTGATTTAATGTCCCCTGCCTCTTTCTGTACACCTAAGCATGTGCATGTGGACAGAAGAGGACATTTTGCTGTATGTCAGAGATTAGTTGCGGTGGTTTGACATTACAAACCAGCCTGGACGAGGCTGAGGGAGGTTGTTAAGTCAATGAGAACACTTACCTTAATGTCAGATGTCACGGCCAACGTCTGCTATCATCGACTTAGGCCTGGAAATGACAGATTAAAGTTGAGCCATAAGTCAATAGAAATACTTTAACAAGTCATGAAGTCCATTTAGGACATGAACGATTCCTCGGAGCAAACTGACTGAATCAGATCAATTAAACACGTGACGTGCACCATGTGTAGAAGATGTTACAGCCTTAAATTATCAGTGTTAATGCTGTAGTAGAAGATGAACTCCTTATTTAACCAAGAATGGCAGTGGACTGTTTGTTCTGCCAAATGTGATCACCTTTCTTTAGGCAGTGATGAGTTTTTCTGGTTCTGCTCCTGCTCAAGTCTGTAAGTAAGAGAGAGAAATATGAGAGGTTACCGCTTTCATACAGGGGAAACAGAGTGCAATACAGTAGGATTTTTAAAGCCTGAGAGTGAAATCCCCATGAGATCAACCTTCTACTCACCTCTCCCTTTGTGCTCTTATCTTCTCCTCATCATACCTTGAAAATGAGAAAAGGAAATCTCACTGATGTTTCAATACATCAACACACTTCTCTCGAGAGTGAATTTTGCAGTTCAAGTTTAACCTTTACTTGTGTTGAAGTACCGTATTCGCTGCAGTGCTCACTAAACTATGTGGTTATGAGACACACCAAGCTAAAAATATTGAATTCCAAAGTTTAGCCACCTACACTTAGCTTTACAGTCTCAATGGATACTAATACCAGTATAAGTGTCGTCTCTTTTAGAAATCCTGGTCTTGTAAATGCCCCATCAGACGGAACTTTTCATGCTCTCTGTAATATTAGGTTTCAGCTGCTTAGTAGAAACAGAAATATGGTTGAAATTGAGAAATTACAGAGCACATGAATAAGTTTTATTATAAATAAGTGTCAATGATTTCAAGTATATTTAGTTTAAGTGTTTCCGAACGAATTGGAAGAAGACTACATCGATGATTTAAACACAGTTTGGCTCAGGTTAAGTTGTACCTATGTGCTGTGAGCATTCCTTCAAGCTCTAATTACCAAAGGCATGCAGTGCTTCAAACGAGCTGAGACAGACCTGTGTAGTGTCTCAGCAGTGACGCCTGGTGGCTAAGAGTACTTACTGCGACACACACTCAGGAATCTGCACATGCTCCATTGGGATGATCTGGCTGAGTTCATCCAGAGTGTGAACGTATCGGATCTTGTCCATGAACTTCACGCTGCAGGAAACAGTGACAATGTACCAATTATTCACACTTTTGTTGTAGATCTATGCATTAAACAGCTTCATTTCATATTATAGTTACTTGATTGAGAAGACTCCTTGATTGATATTCTTTTTGTTTATTTGATTTGTTTTTTGGAGTGAGTATCGGCTGAAAAACAGATGCATAATCGACCATTCTGAATGTATCCCCACCTGATGAAAGGTCTAGAGATGGCCAGGACTGTCCGAATGAACCAAGTCGGGTGAGCAATGATGAGACACTTCAGATTCTTCCTCAGTCTGCAGAAGAATTTGACATTAACAGGATTTTTTTATGTTGTCTTCTTTACATAAAATAGATGATGCTTCTTCACCTCCTCCTCCTCCTCCTAGTCATCTGCAATATTCACTGACATATTAAGCTGTTATTGCGGCGTGGAGCCATAGTCTGGGCATTAGGGATCAACATGAGGCGCTGCAGTATTGATGTCTCACCCCCTTTCTAACCAAAATTCGCAATAACTTGTGGCAAATATCCCGCAGGTCCAAACTGTCTGCAGCAGAACAGCTTCATGTGTCAGTTCAAAGCAGACGCTCACGGTTATGGAAATTTCAGCGACTCTTGAGTGGGAGAGTTTATTACATTTCCTCTTTGCTGTAAGCCTCCACACTGCAGAAACGCTGCACAATGGAGCTGTCAGTCAGGATGTTGACGTCCTTTTTAAAGCATCGACTGATAAATTAAAACTAAACTTCTGGAAGAGTGAACACCAGGGCATAAATCATCCTGATAAAGACTTGTCAGACAGAAATCCGATTTGAGAACAATCTACTTGACATGATTTCTGGCTTTAAAGTTGAAGCCATTTTCCATTTAATAACACGGAGAAGACGGAGAAGACTAAAGGGATCTCTTGATGTTTAGGCTTCACTTCTTATGGAATTATCATTTAGAAACATCAGCTTGAGAAACATCTGTTTTACATTTGAACAGTATTTCTGTCACATTTGTGAAAAACCTGGATGTCTTGTCTTTCTTACTTTCTGTCAATCATCTGGTAGCACCTCTTCAGCCAGCTGATGCCGGGCATCTTCCTACGAGGAGTAGCTCCATTAAGGTAAACTATCATGTAATCCTCCGCCACCAGCAGCTCCAGGCTGCTCACAACGTACCTGAGGACAGAATAAACAATCTCAGACTTGACTCAGACTGAACAAGCATGTAAGACAAAACATGATTTACAAGATAAAATCCTTGCACATGTAAGAAATTCCCATCTGAGACTCATAAAGCCCTTACAGGAAGAGATTCTCCATGATGTATGTGTAGTCCTCACAGCTGCTGTCGGGAAGGTAGCAGGCCGCAAACACGATGATGGCGTTCAAACCCTCACCGTAATAACCTGAAAGAGAGGAGAGAGTCAGGTTTCATCTCTTTAAAAGCAGCAGAACGAGCAGAGATGTGATTGTTCAGTTGTCTTCATTATTTCAGCATGTTGTATTTAATATTTCATGAAGGTTTTCTCACACAGTTTGTTTTCAGTGTTTGTTTTTATTCATGACTGTTGCTTTTAATTTTTAATTACTGCCTGTGCTCGTTGCTGCCTGTTGTGAGTGGGTGGTTGCGAGCGTCTCCTTGTTAGCACTATTAATGCTTCATAGTTTTGATGTAAAGCTACATGAGATGCTCTGGTGCATGAAATGAGCTGCGTAAACATGTTTTCCTTTTTGAGTTCTAATGTCTCCTGACGCTGCTCCAGTTCTCTTGAATTCTTTTGGTTTTCATGTTTCACACACCCACTTCAAGACAACAGGAAGGAATTATCAACAGTCATGCGGTTGAATTTTCTTGTTTAACCTGTCGACAACAACCTACTTTAGTCGGTTCAGATATTAAGTGGCTGAGAGGATTGCTTTGAAAACAAGAGTCTTTTCAATCTGGAGTAAAATTTGATTCACAGTTGACAGAACCAGAGAGTGGTCAGTTCATCAGGGACACTTTAAGTAACTGAGGTTAATCTAATGATCCTGCAAGATATTATCTGCTGAAATGGAGGTTATGATCATTAGTTTTTGTTGATGTTGTGGTGTAATCATTTTGGAGCATACAGTTTGTTGCACATTTGAGCAGTACTGCATCATGATGTCAGTTTTATCTCATTTTTTGATTTAATTTTTATCAGCAACTAGATGAAAACACCTGTCTTCATCCTCTTAAATGGATATGTAGCTGAAGTCAGATCTCTCCCAGATACTTTGACTTTGCTGAAGGTGGGATTCACTGCAGGACTGATTTGTTTGGTAAAAGCAGTCGGCATATGTCTTTATGGAACCACTGTCCACGCAGACACTCTCATTGTTGGACTACAAATCAAGGTCTTTTTGAGTCTCCTTTACTGTATTTTAAGCATGTATTTAAACAATGAGAGTAATAAAATTGGTGAAATAAAAAAGACTTTTTCTTGTCCAGCAAAAAAACAAAAAACAAACATTCAGGCACATCCTGGCCTGTGTGGCCATTTTTTTAGCCTATAGTGAAGTCCTTTTTTCTACTTTTTAACACTGACCTCTGAGTTGACTTTTGACCCTTTTCTGAGTTACAATAATCCTCCTCAGCATAACTTGTAAAAATAAAAGGGTCATACCAAAGCAAAGAGCAATAACTGCCATTCCAGCTCTCAGGGGCTTTTTTTAAGTTACTTTGATTATGTCCCCAACACATTTGAGAGAAGACATCCGTCCACATGACAAAGGATGACTATATATCTACAAATGTGAGAATAACTCAATTTGGATTGTAGGACTTTGTAAAGCAGTCTTGAACTAACCTCCATGTGTGACCACCCTCAGGTATGGCCTGATGACCTGCATGTCAATCCTCTGCTCCTGATCGCCGATAATCACTGTTCGCCACAGACGACCGGATGAATCTCGCTCCTCTTCTCCTTCACCTGGAAGACGTTTGGCAGTGGCCACAGGAGTGTCGTCTGGACCAGAGGTGACATGGGTAAAGATAGTGATCAGAGTTTGTTTTAAAATCTTTTCTTTTGCCCTTATTAATTTTTTTAAACAAAACAGTAGACATGAAGCCGACTGAGGCCTGAGACATTTCTACTTACAGTATGATTATATTGTATCAGAGATGAAAACACAGAAAAATCCCTGAAAGAAATACATCTTAATGACTGAAGGTTAAACAGCTACTCCAGACAAAACTATCTGACAGTGATGGGTCATAACATTTTAACATTTTTGTTTTATTCAACAGTTGGCAGCAGTTTGTGATCGGGCAGCCAAGCAGATATAATATCTTGAGGACTACAGCAAAACTCAAACCGCAGACACTTAGGAGATGAGGGTAAGATGATTTGTGTCTTCCTCCCTTCATCCTTTGACCTTCATATAAGTTCTGTCCTTCTTCGACTCTGCCTCTCTAAATCTCTAAAATGGACTTAATGCTAAAAAAGCTCTGTCTGACCTTCCCACTCCAGCTCATTGCCATTGTTGATGAACTCGAGCGAGTCTGTCTCGTCTGGAGTCTCAATGTCGTCTACGTTGATGTCCAGATCATCGGGGGTTTCCAGGAAGTCATCAGAGAGCACAGAGCCTTCGCTCTGATCCAGGGAGAGATTCATGTCAGGAGCAACCAGAGTGCGGCGCTTACGCTGGGCGATGGACTCCCCGACATTAAGACTGGTGGGAGGATCTGGAGCAGTGGGAAAGGAAAGTTTAAAGGAATGAGTTTCGAAGTTAGAAAGCCAATGCTGTAGATTTTGCTTTTTTTGTAGGTCATCATCGATCCTGTCTGTTTCATAACCAGATAAAAACTCCTCAAAGGGGCTTTAATATTTTCCACTTACGAGTTCTGTTGTCAGTGAGACCACATGAGGCATCTCCATCCTCTGGAAGCGGCCTGCAGAGACATACAGGAAAACAGAAAAAACATGATAACACTGTTTTCCTGCAACCTATATAACTTTTGTTTCAGTCCTTCTATGACTGCTGGCTCTGCACGCTGACATGTAAAAGAAATTGCGATAACAAATAAATACAGTGGCTGAGCAAAAAGTATGAAGAGGTTTTTTCTACTACGCCTTTTGTCTCTGGAGTGTCTCTATTGTGATCGTCTGTCCTCAAAAACAATATGGGTTATTTAAAAAAGCAGCACCAGTAATTACCCTCTCCCCTCTGACATTATAATAAGACAGCTGAACTGTTGGTGCTGAGGGACCAGAGGGCTAGATTACAGTACAAAGCACTCACACAGACACACACACACGCACACACGCACACACTCATGCACTGTACACAGAGGGAGAAGAACATTTTTCGCAGACATGCATGCATAGACAAACACACCCTAAAACACCACAAGTATGGGCTAGTTGATGGTGCTGCTGGAATAATTGCTGTTATTATGTTGTCAGTAGCTTTGTAGGAGGGAGTTAATGATAGCAACGGCAGATATTAAAGAGTGGATTAAACAACAGGGAGGAGAGAGAGAGAGAAAAGCAGTGTGGAAGCTGTCTTAAACGTTTTTTGATGGGACTTTAAAGAGTCGGCAGCTACTTTTATTGTGATTCATGAAGTAAAAACTGAGCAGCAGAACCCTTTTACTTTTCAGTCCTGTGAGATTTTCAATATCTGTACAATAAAAGCTTTTTCAGATGAGAACATGATCATGTCTTGTGAGCTCCAAGATAACTTCCAGCAGAAAGACATCACATGTTGACTTCACTGTGTACAAATGCGCTGTGGATACATGTGAGGCAGCTTCCTCTGCTTATTTTTAAAACATGTGGTCAACCATTTTTTCCATCTTGGGGCGCTGATGTGTTTGTCGTCTCTTTTGTTCCCTGTTATTGTGTTCACTGACACCATCCAGACACATCACGTAACAGGGAAAGAGCACACCTGCTGCGTTTCAGCATTAGACACACACGTCTAACTTTCCATCATTACAGGAGTGGTTTATTGAAAATCAGATCAACACACACCCACGCACATACACACACACACACACACACACACACACACACACACACAGGCTCTCACACAACAAATTACCTGGGAAAGTCCTCGTCCTGCCACTCGTCCTTCACCTCCATGCTGTCCATGCGTAAAGTGACGTCTGCTGTACCCATCCTCAGCCAGGGAGGACGGGTTTCAGCTCTCTGTAGCCGACAGAAGCATGAAAAATAGAAGAAAACTACAAATTAAAATCTTGTTTAAAAATACAGCACTCTCTGCTGTCGGAAGCGAAAACTGAACCCTGATGAAAACACCGGGATTATCCTAATTTAGTCCTGAGACTTCAGACTTGTAGAGGAGAAGTAAGTTAGTGTTATGGGCTGAAGGTGTGGAGTTTAAAAGATGTGGGTGTTTGCTAGACAGGGAGGGTTTAATGAATGACTAATTTAGCTGCATTGTGGGAAATGTAGTATTCAGAGTCTTTCACCTTGAACAAATAATAAAGTAGCACAGCATGTCTTTTTTTAACCAGTTTTTAGAAGTCTAACAAATTCAGAGATGTAATCTAACAAAGTGCAATAATAAAATTGGAATACGCATGATAGAGTCCGATATATCTCAGATTTAAATAACCAACAGTTTACAAGGGCAAGCTATTGAGGATGTGATGAAGACCAGAACCAACATTTTTGTGCAATCTGTATGAAAAGTCTACACTTTCTCCTGACACTTGTTCTATTTTGCCACGAGCAATAATTGTAAAATCATGTCAAAATAAATCACATATTATCAAGTTTACGTCCCAGTGAGTTTCCTCACTAAATCCCCCCGGGGAAGGAGACAAAAATAAAACACCAAATTGCTCATATAGTCCCTCAGGGCCATACAAACAAATCACGTGTGCTGGCAGAGAGCAGGCGGTGATCTGAACTTCCATATTTTACATAATCAAATCAGAAATGACAAAGTCTCCATATGATGCTGGATGCCCTCAGCTGTTTAGGTCTGTTCTGTCCATCGGGACCACTCATGCACAGTGTGAACATCATGCGCCAGTCTTGTGTTGGAAATGTGCATATTTGGGGGGAGGAGTTTCCCTCCTACATCCCTGCCCCAGTCAGAGTTCATGCAACAGCAGACGTTAACCACAGTCCATTTGTCCACTGGGATGGCACTGATGTGCTACAGCGAAACACATCAGTGCTTATATTGAGGGGGAAAAAAAAGTGGGCTAAAAGGCAGCGGCCCTCAGGCTTCATGTTGCTCGTGCTCCTGTGTTGTGATTGGATTTAAAAAATGGAGGAGGATAGTTCAGTATTGAAGTGTATCATCTTTTAGAAGGAGCAGAGTGTGTGATGTGGGCTTGATGGGGAACTCCAGAGATGTCACTTGAATAAAGATCCTCCTGACTTAAAAGACTCCGTCCCCTCTTTGGTTCTCACACTTTACTCTTGTTAAGAAATGGTTTGATCATCGTCAGGTCTAAATTTATAATGAAAGAGGGGGTCACACGCAGAGAATAAAGAGGGAAACCCACACGGAAACAGCAGATCAATGCGTGTGTGTTCTGTTTGTGCAGATGGCTCAGCTGCTCACACAGTGAACTGCTGATTGATGGACTCTAAGTAACGTTGCACTTGCACGTGTTCGGTAGGGATTTGAGTCCAGATGGCAGAGCGGCCTTCATTTTCCAAACGCTATCTTGGGAGCTTTTCACCCAAAACTGTGTTTAATCCACATGATACCGAACTCTAAAAAAAGTTACAGAAGTGTAATCTTTGTTCTACTTGTTTCGGTGAATATTTTTGTGTTTCCAAAGTCCCATGACACGCTGAAGCAAAATGTCCTCTTGAATAGAACATCATTGTATTCCTCCTCTCTCTTCTGCTTCATGAAATCATTTACATGGCTCGCAGCTTGGAGATAAGCATCAAAAGAGCCACAGAATATGAAAACTAGGCTGAGAAATCATGATTTGATAAGGCCTTTTACAACTTGAATGAGTGCAACTTGATAACAGAGACTTAAGATCTCTTCAGATGTAATATGGATGATTAAAAACACCAAATCAAACACTAGAACTTATTAAAATATCATTAATAAGAGTTTAACTCCTGATTATTAAAGCTCTTTTGAAGCTTTGAAAGGACTGGATAGCTACAGTTTGATCAGATTTGAATGACAGTGACCAAACCACCTCTCATTGGTTATAATATATCTGCTTGAATGTTCCAGATCAGCTCATGAAAGCCTTTAGCGCATCATCTCTAAAAAAACTGTATTAATTTAACTGTGTGGGTTACTCCTTTGGAAGCTGATAGAGAGACTATTTGGGTGTGTTTATGAGGAGACAGGCTGTCACGACTCTCACCTTTTCTATGACAAATACAGGCAGACACTTTCTCATCACTATAAACCACAAGTTCGATTTAGAATCTGTCCCTGATACAGAGACATTTCATCAAGCTCCATGCAGATAAATCGTGGGCCATGCAAATGCAGGATACTCACCTACTGTAACAAGGAAGGCTTCCTCTTCACCGAGTTAAAAGCGTCCCTGTAATTGCTCCTCTGTCTTTCCTCCTCGTCCTTAAATCTGCCCGAGCAGACTGAGGGTCATCACTGTTTACATCCGGAGGTTCAACCCTCCAGTCTTGCTCAGGATCTCCGCTTGATGAGTCTGGTCGTCTACTGAAGCGCTAGATGTAAGCTGACGGAGAAATGGTATCCTCCTGTAGAGAGAATGACAGTCAGGGAAGTCAGGGTCAACATGCAGCAAACGCCATCCTGCTCTCATCTTTCCTCCCTCCTCTGCCAGTCAGATCCCTCGCTGCTTTTTGGACAAAAGATAATCCTCTCCCTGCGCTTTTAGCTCGTCTCATGATGATCACTCTCGCCCTCTCTCTCTCTCTTTTTTCTACCATTTACTTCTGCTTCTCTCTGCTGAATCCCCCCCCTCCTCCCTTCTCCCGCCAACACTAATGCTCCTACCCCAGGGCTCTAATCCTGCTGTGATGATGTCACCCAAATGGGAGCTGTGGTATGGAGGTTATGTAATCACACCTGCCTACCTTCTTTACGATTGTCTTTGTCCCGATCAGCTGTTTTCCTCACGTTCAGTCCATTTGGCATCCATGATTTAATCTGGGTTCTCTTTTTTATCCTCCTGCAAAACACAAGCTGGAAGAGATGAACGTGTCTACTTCACTGCTGTTCCCTGGCAACAGCATCTTCCTCCCTCTAACACACACAGCCTCTCTCTCTCTCTCTCTCTTGCTTTTTTCTCACCATCTCTTCTAAGCTCGCTCTCTCCTGGTGAAACCCCTCCTCCATGTGAATTTCCCTCCTTTTCTCCTGCTGTGATGCTAACGCTCCCTCCCTTTCTCTCTTTTGCTCTCCTCACAGCTGCACTGAGCTCTGGGCGATATCAGTGGCATCTCTCTGAGATTGCACTTTTCGCCCAGTGGGGGCAGACACAGTTTCCTACTCTTCTCCTGCCATTGGCTGCCTACGTGATAAATGTGCTTGTGGTGTGTTTTGTGTTTTCTATTAATAACGTTTCTTGGCACAGCATGGAAATACTGCAACATGCCCAGACTTGTGACTAAAAGCTTTTGTTTTCCGACAGATCTGGTGCACATGGGAAAGATGAATTTTGAGTAGACAACATTAGGTGTTTAAAAAAAGGGGAAAAAATGATTTAAAAACTTATTTTAATGAATAAATTAATCCATTATTAGAGGTAAGGCCTTTTCATGAAGAAAGCATTCCTAGCTCTGGGTTCTTTTATGGACCATTTTGATACCAAGATGCTTTCTTACCTCTCACACTGCAAAAAAAAAACTGACCTTGTAGTGCTGCTTTTCTCTGTAAATAAAATGTTTTCAAGTGTACTGCTTGTAGGGTGAGCACACTCATGTTTTATCTTCAGGTCCCAGCTGTGAGCTTCTTACTTTGATAAAGTGCAGTATGATTAAATATTAAACGGCTCTATATGTTCTGCATTGCCTGGGTGCAAGTAGGTCACTGAAAAATACAGTATGATCTTCTTTGATCTTGCATTTCACTTTGCTACCACCAGATGGTGGTAGAGTGTTACTGTCAATTGGTCGTTTTGACAACCACATGATAACACTTGATGGTTTACATGGCTAGTGCTGAATTATGTGCATGAGGTGCAAAGGTAAAGGACTAATTTGATATTAAAGATTGGGAGTTTCAAATATAGTTCATTTTTCGTTACATTAGAAAAAAAGGCAACCCCACATTGATCCAGCCATATTTAAATGATTACATTTGATAGTCAAACATGTTTCACAGGAGTGTTGTTATCCTGGAGCTGTGGCAGGCTTTCATCCTTGTTTAAGTGGTGTTTATTGACTAAAAGATCGCCTCCTGATGTCTTTTTACAGCCAAAGTTTATCCCTTACCATGAATATTTGCAGTAGTGAGAGTAATTTAGGCTATTTTTACAGTGTACCTACCTACTCACAGCAGGTGCAGTCTTAAAAAATTAAAATACAGAGATTGTCAGTCTTGTCATTTATGGTCTCATTAACTTCTGTGCACCTCTGAGATGCTCTACAGTTAATTTCAGTTAATCTGTTTCAAGGTCTATCAAAAAACTCCTAATAAGAGCTTTAAGTAAAACATCTGTGCATTTCAAATGGATATTGTTGGCACATGCACTCACAGAATCTAATCAAAATGTATTAGTGATTAAATGTTGTTAGTGGGCAGTACAGCTACATTTCTACACAATCACCATGGATACCATTTGAGCCTGTGGGATGCCTCCTCGAAGCAATGACAATCAGTTTCTGAGACAATGAGAGGAAACCCACTGAACTCTGCATCACTAGTTATCACCTCCATCACTTGTCATGTTTTTCCATCACTCCCTGGTAATAAACACCTCCCTGTTCTCTACTAGAATCCAAATAGTTAATACTGTCACTAACTTGTCCTGTAAATATCTAGTAAACTACAAAGTTAAATTCAGAGAGCAGAGTACTTTCAGCAGCTTGTGTGTTACAGGCGCCATCCTGTGGTGTACAGACAAAAAGGTACCAAAGGACTACTATAGAATCAGAATCAGTATCATAGGCCAGGTATGTGTGCAAGTCAAACCAATAATAACTTAAAGGGTTGATCTTACCGATCTAAGCAGGTAATCAGGATGGAAATGATAAGGAGAAGCATAAACATCATGGTCTGGGATGACATATTATTTTGGTGCAGAGCATAACAAAAGCATGTCACTAGAAGACACACACAAGCATCAGGCAGGTTACTGTTATATTGCCAGAGTAGTGAACATACGGGCTGATCAAGGAGATTTTAAGTATCCTACAGCTTCTTGAGTCCATTTATATAACAAATCCACAAGCAACAGAGTTCCCATCAGGCCATACTAATAATCCACAAAATGCCCTTTAACGACAGTGGGCTGTTCTTCGTGTACCACTGTGAAGGCTTATACTGGTATAGACTTGGGTGTAGGACATCTAATACTTCATCTTAAATTTGGTCACTGCTCAGTCATACTTTAGTAAAACACCAAAAGTAGTGTAACTTTTAGTGTAACTGCTGGTGTAAATAAAAGTAAGAACTTATTCTCTACTACTTTATTTTATTTGCTCCAGTATGCTTTAATGGCCAATTCACTTGAGGTTGTTAGATTCTACTGTGGCTCTGCTGAGATTCAGCCTCTATTTGAAAAGACATTATATATTTATGACATGGTTGGTGTATTATTTCCTATAATTCAAAGTTGATACCACATCTTTTTTTCCTGTTGTTTTTCTGATTCAATTTCTCTTCACTATTACGCTGAGAATATCAAAGATAGCACTTACTGTGAAATTCACTTTACATCTGTTACCAATATAATAACTATGTTTTTAATCACATTTTGTAACATAATTTGATATCTAAAAATCAGTTTTGTTTATTTCACAAAAGAGCCAAACAAAGTTTTTTAGGTGAAAGGTAAAGTGACTGATCAACTCCTCAAAGCTTTTTAGCCCATTTAGTCTTTATTGGTTTACCTGTCCTGAGGGCACTTTCTTGCATTTTCTCCACCATGAGGCCACCTCAGAATCAACATCATTTCAGAAGCTGAAATGAAAAATCTCTAAGGTTTCAGGTACTGCCACCTGTCCTTAATGAATAGGGTTAAGTGAATAAGAGGCTGAAATTCAGCCTAATAATCTCACAATCCTTTGTTTGTTTTTGTAATTAGAGGCTGTCAGTGAGGTGGGCAACAGTGGCTTACATCCTGAAGGTCTATTCTTCTGCATCCAGCTTACTTTGAAAAGCCTGTTCCTTGTCTGTGGGACTAAAAGGAAAGCTCTTGAGCCGTTTTACACCATTCACAAGTTATTATATTATCCAATTAACTTGATTCGAATCAGAAGTTTGAAGTAAGTCAGAGGTGACAGAAAAGTGGGAGCAGGTGGGATGAATACACCAGTTGACTAGAAAAAAAGGCATGTCCAGAGAGGACTTTGTAGTAGTGCAGGTAACACTTGCAGCTGTAGCTGATTTTTGTCGAGGTGAGCACAATACATTTCTCCAAACTGAATTCTGACACAGAGGGAAGACAACAGAGACCAAATACACACTGGGTAACTAGTGATGCAACACAGGTGAGGCAATAAGCCACAGGTGCAGACAATTAGGGCATGCAATTACAAAAGAGGGGGAAGTAAAACTAGATCAGACACACAAGGAGATAGATAAACAGGAATCACTGACCGCTGAACACAACGAGAAAAGTACGTCAGCAGTCCAGGAAGTGAACTGGCTTATCTCCATTTAAAAGCCAAATTCCTTAAGTCCTGATCCATACTGGGTCTTGATCAGGGAACCTGCCAGTCCCAACAAACTGAACTATTGCCTCCTGAAACCCAGGCCTCCTGCCCACCATCCCATTCCTCACAAAAATAAACTGGTTCCATATTTGCTTGGTCTTGAGAAAACTTCACTTCTGTTTTGACTTTTAACATCCACATAGATCCACAGATATTATTAATAGCTAATTTTTCTAATCTTCAACCAATTTAGAGGTATATTGTGCACATGGCTGTGGTCTTTAACTCTAAAGAGTCTGGCAAATTAAAACTATATTCATGCTGTACTGCAGTAGAACGATGAATTGTCAGAATAATTCAGTCGCAATTTTTGTAAACACAAGTGGGGATGTAAAAAGGCAGACGGAGCTTGTTTGCTTTTCTGGCTACATGTCATTTATGTGTGACATCAACGGATGTGAGCCAGGCTTATGAGGTAGCTTTAGGTGGGGGTTTAGTTCCTCAGAGCTCAAATTAGCGTAAGAGAAGCTAATTAGGCTCCATGTGTGACAACCCGCCAGGGCTCAGTTTCAAGAAGCCATCATTAAACACATCTCTTAGCCAGTGTGCTTTAAAACAATAATTATTTAATCACCTTACAATCTCAAGTGGTGCTGATGTGTTAGTTAACTTCAATTAGATAAAAAGTCAAAGTGTAATGAAATTAGAGTCTCACTTTCCAGCTGAAGTAGAGGAAGCCTTTTCAAGACTTGAGAGAATTTTAGTCTTGTCAATCAAAAGGTATAAAGGTAAAACATTTTTTTTTCTTTTTTTTATATTTAATGGGAGTGTTTATTTAGCTTTAAACATTCTGAATCTCATATAATATATATGTTTTAAACCACTTTTCAGTAAAAATTTCAAAAATATCAAAAAGAAAAACAACAAACTGCTGATTACATATTTAGGACAAGCTACAGGCCCCTATTGCCTCACTATGTGACATATCCAGGTCTACAGCTGAGTCATACTGTCATTAAAAGTACACCATCATGAAAGTGATCTAATAACTCTGACAACGGCAGAAGTCAAACACTTGTTGGTCTTCTGCATTTCCTCTGATTTGATTCATACTTGTTTGTATTTTCCATAAGGAACCAAACAGCACATGATTAAATCCAGGGATGGCACAGCATTGCGAGGGATCGAGGTGAAGGAGTGCAACCCTGGCCAAGACATCAAGTAACCGCAGATCTGTGCCAAGCTGCAGCTCTAGGTGGAGCTAATCTTATTAAAGGAGGGTCAAGGCCTGAGTAGACCACCCTTAAATAGACGTGGGTCATATCTGGTACCAATATGGAGACAGATCGTACTGATGACGACTAGACTGTGGGTAGAGGTGGGCTTACAAGCAGGAATGACGTTAGTTTAGACTTAAAGCCCAGACAGGAAAGTCAGGATTGAGTGGGTGAGAATGGAACAGTTTATTTCTGCTTTAGCTAAGTTAGCTAAACCCCTCTGTTCTGTACGTAAAGACCCCAATTCCTTTACCAGTTTATCAGGCCTACTTTTTTAAGCACAGTTTTTCTGGATAATACATTATCAACAATGATTGACTTTTGGAGTGATTACTTAACTGTAACAGCTTTAGAAATGCACTGAAAAAGC